GGCTGTGGCTATTTTAACACTCTATCTCAGCTCTCTGTGCTTTGGAGCAGGCTTGGTCTTTATTCCCCAAGGGCACTGCTCACAGCTAAGACTACTGCTGTCTGTGGGCTCCCAGCCCACCACCCTCTCGCGCCTCCGCAGATCCTACCAGTGTCTCTGGTTATATGGTCCTGTCCTGCTGCTTTTCTGTTGCTTTTTTCTGAGGATTTGTCTTTATTTTAGTTGTAATTCCCATTTGGTCCTGGGAGATTGTCCATGTAGCTTCTGTTCACTCCGCCTCCATTTTCACATCCTCTAAACCTATCTTGTGTGCATCTGGGTCACACAAGCCTTCCTGGTACCCCCACACTCTGCAGGTCCAGCTGGTAACTGGATCGCACAATCCCTTTGGGGAACCGGCTGTATGCCTATGTTATGGGCTGCTAGGTCTCACAGGCCTCTCTGGTGTTTCAGCACCCTGCAGGTCCCATGGGTAACTGGATGGCACAGTCGCTGCTGGGTAGCACAGGCCTCCTGGTGTTTTATCACCCCACAGCTCCTGTGGGTATCTAGAGTGCACAGTCCCTGCTGGGTCGCACAGGACTCTCTGGTGCTTCAGCACCCTGCAGGTCCCAAGGGTAACTGGATTGCAAAGTCTCTGCTGGGTCGCACAGGCCTCTCTGGTGCCCCTGCACCCTGCAGTGCCAGCGGGCGGGCAGCTGGATCACACCAGTCTCTTTAGGGCCCTGGCTTCCCACTGCTCTTGTGGGCCGCTGGACTACACAGGCCTCTGTGGAGCCCCAGGTCCCGCTGCTGACGGCTGGGGAGTGCTGCTGCCCCGTGGGGCTCAACTCCTGCTCAGCTGTAGTTTTAGGGGATGGGTCTCATGTGCTGGTCTGTGCTTCTGTTGCCTGGGGATGGCTGTCTGCTCCCCAGCCTCTGTTGCTGGGGTATATCTCAACTCTGATCAGGCTGCTACTATGGGGGGTGGTTCTGGGCTCCAGGCTGTTCGCAGCTTCTGGGACGGCACCTTGACAGCTCCACTACTGTGCACTGGTCTGTGTTGACACAGTGTCCACTGGTCCGATGGTGCCAGGTGTGCTGGTGGGCTCAGGTTGCTGGGCCCTAGCTGCTCCCACTGCCTCCTCCCAGGGAAGACTGGGGATCTTCCAAAATGCTGGGACCTCCCCGTGGTGCAGGGAGAAGCGCCCTGAAGGGCAGCTTACTGGGGTAGCCGGCTGCTCCATCCACAGCACAGGGACCTTCTGCTCCGGGCTCTGCACTGCTCGGGTTTGGTCGTCCACCTGCACATCCACTCACACTCTGTCATACACCCACGCTCTTCCCCAAGCCTATCTTTGATTTTAACAAATCGTGTCACTTTTTCTTCCCTGTGTCTCTTTTTGAATTCTATTTTTGATCCTATGCCTTCCAGTATTATCACTTTTCATTTTTATTTAGTGTTTTAAATAATATATATTATACTTCTTTTTTTCTGTTTTCACTTTTAGATTCCTATTATTTTCCTTGTTTTTATCTCTAAAAATGCAAGTTGTTTTCTTTTTATTTTTAGTGTTTCGAATGTTTTACGAAGTCTGATTTCCCTCAACCAGTGATTACTTTCATTTTTCAAATCATTTTGTAATCTATATTTTTGTATTTTTAGTGTTGAATTTGAAACCATATAGTTCAAATTTTTCACATTTAAAGAGATCATTTAACTTAAATTTTCTTTACCACTCAGCTCAACACTTTTATTTTAAGTAATAAGTTTAAAGAAAGATGTACATGACTTCTGTACTGAAAACTAGGTAAAATTAAGGAAAACTAAATAAATGGAGAGCTTATACAACATAAACCAATTGGATTTAATATTAAGATGTCAGTTCCCACCAAATTTATAGATTCAGAATGCAAAAGGTTATAAAAATCCAAAAAGCTTTTTTTGTAGAAATCGACAAATTGACTTTAAAAGATACGGTGTCAAGTGGGTACTGGAACTATCTGGGGGAACATGTTATAAAGTATATAATAGTCTAACTGCTGTGATGTATACCTGAAATCAATACAAAATAATATTAAAAAACAAAAAAACAGTGCCCTCTATAAATACTTCAATGAAAATAAATAAATAAAAGATACGTGGAAATCAAAAGACAGAAAAGCCAACATAACCTTTCCCTAATTGACCTCAAGACTTTCTATAACCTGTAGTATTCAAGCCAATATGCTATTGACATTAGGATAGACAAATAGAGCAATGGTACAGAAGAGAAAATCCAGAAATATACCCATGCTTATATGTAAATGGCTTTTTCAATATTTTCATTAACTGTGGGTAGGCAAAGATTTCCTAGTACACTAAAGTTATTAACCACAAAAAAAAAAAAATAGATTTGGCTTCATCAAAAAAGTTCTCCTCATCAAAAGACACAATAATCTAAAAGGGCCAAAGGCTAGAACAGACACTTCACAAAAGAAGATATATGAATTGCCAATAAGGATATGAAAATGTGATCAAGTCTGGCTGGTGTGGCTTAGTGGTTAAGTGTTGACCCATGCACCAAGAGGTTGCCAGTTCAATTCCCGGTCAGGACACATGCCCAGATTGTAGGCCTGATCCCCCAGTGGCCAATCAATGTTCTCTGTCATTGATGTTTCTATCTCTCTCTCCCTCTCATTTTCTCTCTCTCTAAAATCAATAAAGAAAAAAAATTTTTAAAGAAAATGTGACCAATATAATTAGTCATTAAAGAAATACAAATTTTCCCTGGCCAATGTGCCTCAGTGGTAAGAGCATCGCCCACAGATCGAAGAGTCCCGGGTTCAATTCCAGCCAAGGGCACGTACCTCAGCTGCAGTTCACCCATGACCCCCATTGGGGTTGTGCGGGTGGCAGCCAATTGATGTGTCTCTCTCACGTCGATTTTTCTCTCTCTCTCTCCCTCCCTCTGACTCCCTCCAGCTCCATCTGCGGATTAATGTAAAAATATCCTCGAGTGAGGATTTAAAAAAAAAGAAAAACAAATTAAAACTATATGAGATACCACATCACACATTAGATGGCTAAAATGACAAAGGCTATATTTAATAGATTTTGAAAACAATTTGGCAGATTTTGTAATGGTTAAGCATACTTCTACACAATGACCTAGCAATTCCAATCTTAGCTGTTTCCCCAGGAGAAGTGAAAACATCTCACCACAAAAAGAACAGCAGCTTTATTTACACTAGTCCCAAACTAGAATCAACCCAAATGTTCAACAGGAAAATGAATAAACAGACTGTGGTAGAAACACACAACAGAATACCCTCTACAGTAAAAAGGAACAAATTTCTAATTATCTAATAACATGGATAATGAGCAAAAGAAGTCAGACACATAAGCATAGATGATGAATCATTCCATAGATGAAATCCAGTAACAGGCAACAGGAACATATGGTGATGAAGGACGGCAATGTTTGCCCCTGAGAGGCTGCCCGGCTCGAAGTGGTCAGCTTGTGGGTTGAGGGGTACAGGGTGCACTGTTCTATTCTTCATTTTACAAATGACAGGTCATTGTTCAGCACCATGTCTCTCTTCAATCTCCACCACCTTCAATATTCCACAGGGCACATAGTTGCTTTCCTGACCACTGAGAGCATCCTCCACCTACAATAGCAATTACTGCTCCTCTGACCACATTTTGTATCATAGATTTTTGTTGAAATCTCTCATTCACTCATTGTCTCCACCATTCCCTTTGTCACTGTAAACCCAGTTCCTTTATTATCATTTTAGTACGATTCTCAATAAAAGAGAAGACAAATGCTTCTCTTCAATCTCCCATCCTTAACCAGAAAATTTTGTTGCAGGAATTTGACACAATAATGTGATATCATTATTCCCTGGTGCATATATATGTGTGTTGGTAGTGGGAGGGGCCAATAATTATTTTCTGGTTTGACAAAATATGAGTCTTCATAACGTTAAGGAATACAAGATGTTGATTAAAATATTACTATCAGCCCTGGCCGGTTTTGCTCAGTGGTTAGAGCATCGGCCCACAGACCAGAGAGCCATGGGTTCAAATCTCATTAAGGGCAATTACCTCGGTTGTGGTTCAGTCCTCAGTCCTGGTTGGGGTTGAGCAGGAAGCAACCAATCGATGAGTCTCTCTCACAGTGATGTCTCTCTCTGTCTCTCTCTCTGTCTCTCTCTCTGTCTCTCTCCCTTCTTTCTTCCCTCCCACTCTATCTGAAGATAAATGGAAAAGTATCCTCAGGTGAGGATCGAAAAAAAAACATTATTATAGTAATAAAATTATCAAGTAAGAACCAGAATTACAGACTCAGGTTTACAATTACTTTCACCAGAAACAACAGTGATTTCTGACATTCAGATGCATAAAAAATTCCCCATATATAACAAAGCAGAGATAGATTTATATTAACACAAAGCAGAAGTCCCAGAAGAAATGGTAACATTTCTTGTGAAATATTCCATTTATACTGTATCATATCATTATCAAACCACATCTTTTCACTTATGAACCAGTTCTATCATACAGGGTGGTATTTCTCTTAACTGCCATTGGTCAGAGAGGGGACAACTTGTTTTTTTTTCTGAGATTTATTTTCTATTAGTTGTTAATTAAGATGCATGTTCAAGGTTAGATCCTTTTGTTATTCATTCTTTTTATTTCTCTGTAGATGACCTGTTTACTCCATTTCGATTTTGTATAAATTTAAATTTTTTTAATTAAAAAATTCCAGATATGTGAAGATACCTTTACAGTGGCTTCAATTGGGAACTGACTTTCTCAGTTCTACTTTTAAGTCTTTCTTAACTTCCACAAGGTTCTTTCTTTAAATCTTTGTTTATTGCCTTCATTCCACTTATTTTCCTCTCTACTCAGGACCAATTACTTTCTACATGTGGGTTCTTCACAACCTATCCTTCATTTATAAAATCTTACAGCCTCTACAAACGTCTCAGACTCTTGAAGACCATTTTCACGTGGTACCCTTTCTCCCTAGGATGTCCAGAGAAGACCAGAGCATAGATGACAGAATTGTCTATGATATTGTATTCCATCACTTCAAAAGACATAAGGTCGATATTTCAAGAGCAATAAAAAAGGAATTTCCTTTCCTTGAGGTTCTTCGTGACCGTGAACTCATCACCGAAAAAATGTATAACGTAAGTGAGGTTTATAGTGTTACAATCACTTAGTAGCCCTACAATTACCTAGAAACTCTAAAACTTTACATGAAAAAAAATTCCTATGTAGGGAAATTTTAACACATTAACAACAAAATCACTTTCTGGGGCTCTTCTGTAACTTGGAAGTCTGTAATTACATTTTTCTCCATTTATTGTCTTTTCAGGATTGTAAAGAATCTTGTAGGAACCTGGTCCCTGTACAGAGAGTAGTGTACAATGTTCTCAGTGTACTGGAGAAGACATTTGACCTGCCCCTTCTGGAAGCACTGTTCAGCGAGGCCAATAAACAGGAATACCCCGACTTAAATATCATTTATAAAGGCTTTGAAAATGGTAATGAGATTTACTACTTACCTCTTGATGAACAGGGATAACCTTTTTTTTTTTTGACAAGTATATATTTAGCTCTACCATGTGCCCAACATGCTGGGCTGGGCGGTGGGGATATAGCAGTTAAAAGAACAGATGTATCATGACCCTCCTCAAGGCCTATGGCATAATAGCTACAGTACAAACCCACCTGCAGGTCTGCTTAACTAGGCATCTTGATCATAGGACAACCAGAGCCACAGTGGCATCAGATTTACTTAGAAGGACAAATGACAGGAAACACAGCATCCCAACGGGGCAGCATCAGTTGCTGCTCTTCTTTGTGACCCCTTGCAGCTGTCCACACAGCAGCCCACCAAGCTGACCACTGCCTGCCTTGAGTGACAGTTTAGTGGTGGGATCCACTCTAATTTAACCACGCCATGCCCAGGGGAGTCGATGTCTCATGTAACGACTCTGAAATCATAACTTTCAGGGACCCCACAAAAGAGAGCCAAGGTGTAAGAGGCACTACATTGAAAGATCATAAATGACTTATAGTTTACATATAGTCCTTCCTAGTACACACATAACTTATCTACCTACAGTCACAGGTCATTTTTCACCCTAAACACCGTGTTTGCCTAGTAACACAGAAGAGAGGCCAGCTTTATCAGGTGTCCAGAGTAATGAGCAAGAAAATTAACCCTAAGTCAAATGTGCTCTTAAAGAAGGAGAAATGGTTTTATTAACTTTCTCCACAATGGGTGAAACACACATTAATCGTAGAATCACAAAACCTATTGCTCAGCCAGTGACTATTTTTGATGCTATATAAAACTGCAGCTGTGATTCTCAAATTTTTCTGAGAAGGCATAACTTATACTTTTTAATGTCACCCAGTTAAGAGAATGCTCTACTGTATATAGATAGATAGATGATAGAGAGAGAGATAGATGATAGATAGATAGATAGATAGATAGATAGATAGATAGATAGATAGATCATTTACTTGCCTAAGTGAACTTTTTATTCCAATGGAATCTCAGTGAAGTTCTCCAGATAAGAGGTAGAGATAGTACAAGAAAAATGGTTCTATGTCCTGAAGAGGGATTAGACATAGTGTGAAAAGGACTAGTGTGTCTGCAAAACAAGGACAGATTTGATTTGGCTCCATCAGAGAGTGAGAAGCAGACTGTGGGAGCTAATTCAAGAGAAATAAGTTTTAAGATGATTTGGAAAAGTTTAGTATATAAAGCTAAGCAATGTGAGGTTTATAGGTAGGCAATAAAGAGATACTAACAGGTTTATAAGCAAGGAAAAAATTTAAAGCTGGGATGAAGCATGTGGCTTATTGACTTGTGTCCATCGTAATCTCATCTAATGAAGAACAAAGTCATTTCTACAACAAGTCATTTAGTCAGAAAAAGAATAAAGGAAGTTGAATACCTAGTCACAGATTTCAAGTCAATATTATCATTGTAACCAGATGTCCCAAGACATGGGTAAGAAGAGGATGGCAGCTACCTTTACTACCTACATCTTAGGGACTCTGCTCCTCTTCATGTACTACAGGAACTTCCCTCCCCAGGCCCAAATCACATGCCTCATTTTACAGGGCTCCCCATTCTGAGGTGACCCACACCTACAACTGCAGCTGCCCACCTGACCCTGAGGAAGGTCGCAACTGCCACCTCCCATTTTCTGTTGGCCATGGGAGCTGCAGGTCAACAACCCAAAATTCAAGAAGCTAAGGGTTATGATCCAGAGTGTGACAGCCTCTCCTGCTGCCCAGACCCAACCTTCATCTGTGCAAAGATCAACCTATACTCCTCATTGGAACACCTGCACACAGGTCACCTTCACCATTTCTGAGCTTTTAACCCTATGTTCTCCTCCAATCTTCCACCTGATTTTGCCGGGATTTGTAGCCATGTCCTGGGATGACAAAGCATTCGTGGTTCCACAGTCTTATCCATCGACCAACCAATGGACATGGTCCCAGGAGGAGCTTCCGTCATTGGCCTGGGGTAGCTTTCACCTCCTTCCATGGTGCCTTGTCCTCCCTAGACTCCCCATGGACACCCACACCTGGACTTCTTGGTTTATGTCCTTCCTCCTTACATTTTCTGGGTCATCTACATGCAGGGGTCCTGGGTTAGTGCTCTATCCCCTCCTCACCAGCAGCCTCCCACACCCCTGGTCCAGGCATCTGGGGACGTCCTCCAGTGCTGCAGGATTCATTCCCTGCTTGCAGCTTCAGTGTCTGTCCTTTGTTCCTGAGAGGTCTGTCTGATTCCACCAGTGTCCTTTGACCTGTCTCTTTGGGAAATACTCATCCTCCCTGACCCAATTAAACCCTAACTTCTCTTCTCCATTCTCACCTTAAAACTATTGTGCTCTTTCTTTTATACATACGGATCTCTCTAGGATCCTAGTCCTTCTGTTGAGGTGGCCTTCTGTTTCTTCATTACAGCTGAAACAGTTCAGAAAACACACTTCACTTTCACTATTTACTTTGATGTTTTCTTTCTCATCCATATAAACTTTTTTTTACATGAGTAACAGGCTCACTGTGTTTTCACAATTCTTTATTCCTGACATTTGAGTGGCTCCTTTCTGTGTGGGAAATATAGAGTTTCTTGTTGGTTTGTGTGTGTTTTTCTGTCCCAGCATTGATGGGAAATTTTTCCATAAGGATGGGAACCCAATGAGCTCTGAGTAACCCAAGGGCTAGAAATTCCTAAATGTGTGCATTTGACATGATGTTCCTGGTCTCTGATGGAAATCTCTAAACATCTTCTTTCTCCATCTTCTCAGCAGTCCATGAGAAACTTTGTCACCAAGAAAGTGATGGAGAAGAACATTTGGAGAGCCCTAACACCCAACTAACACTTGAACAAGGTGATTACAAACATATAAAAACCAATTCTCATCTCTAGGAGAAAAGGAGATGGGGCCCCGAGTCCTGAGTGGAGTTTGGGAATCAGGGAAGAATTGTTAAGCAGCATGGAGAAGGCAGGGAGGGGTGTGTGTGGTGTCTGACCAGGGACTGATCCTGGAGGAAGAACTATGACTAGACTGTTGACCCAACAACCAAGACAGAGGAATAGGAACTCAGTGTGTCTGGAAACCAGATTTAAAGAGAATGCTGGCCTGGAGGTAATAGCTGTGCAGAGCTGGGAACTAAGGGCCCAAGGTCAACATCACAGAGGAAGTCCTTGATAATGACCGTAGAAGGGACTGATTAAATGTGGGGGTGCTGTTCAAGAGCAGGAATATTCAAGGAGATGGGCAGTCATGTAGGGAGAGAAGAGAGGAAGTGGTAAGATGTGGAGGGGGGGGGTGTGGGTATTTTGAGAGAGAGAGGAAGAAGGAGGGGAAATGAAAGATAGGAGAAAGGGGTAAAGGACACAGTAAAAATAGCCATATTATTAAGAGCTCACTTACTGGACCTTTACTCTGGTAGGTGTGGGCTTAGGGCTCATAGCTGCCCTTGAGGGGAAGTATCACTATCTGCCCATTTGCAGAAAAGGAGACTGAAGTCTACAGAGACCACGTATGTAGTTGGCGTGGGTCAAATTAGCAAGATAAACCCAAGCATCCTGAACTCACAGCTAGTATTTTTTCTTTTCTTTTCTTTTCTTTTTCTTTTTCTTTTTTTTTTTTATAGAGTGGGAAGGGGAGAGAGAGAGAGAAAGAAATATTGACGTAAGAAAGACACATCGATCTGTTGCCTCCCACACGACCCTGACCAGGGCTGGGGACAAACCACAACCAAGGTACATGCCCTGACCAGAATCAAACCTGAGGCTCTGGTCTGTGGGCTGACGCTCTAACCCCTGAGCCAAACCGGCCAGGGTACAGCTAGTATTCTTACCCTCTACACACCCAGATAATCTCGTGGAAAAGATAGAAGATGAAACAAAAACAGGGAAATACATGCAGAGAGAAACGTAAGAAAGGAGAATACCAGGATCTGGAGGACGTGCAGGAGAATCAGACACTGAACCTCATAAAAAGGTCAATGAGACAGAGAAACAGTCATGCGGAGGGAGGTGTGGTGTGTAGGTGGTTGGGATGAAGCACCAGGACTTTGTAGGAACTACGGCAAGGCCACCATTTGGGGCAGTTCTGGGGACACAAACAGGTTCACTATGGCAATGGGTGGCATGAAAAGCCCTCGCCAGTTACCCCAGGTGCTCATGGAACATGCTCAGTGAGAGGGACTGGCCACGGCCCTGTCAGCCCAAAGAGGGACTTGGGTCTGATGGCAAGAGTCAGGTGGGATCCTCCAGGTCCAGATGAGATTTGTGTTGATACCTTGGGGGGGGGGGGGGGACCCAAGTCCTACGTTATAAAGATTAAAAGGGGATTAGAGGAGATTGGCATTTCTGAAATAAACTTCAATTTATGAAATAAACTTCTTCTCATTTCTTCCCCCAGGAACTGGTGAACACTCATGTCAAAGCCTGACCTGGATCTTCCCTCATCCCTCAGAGAGTGATGGTCTGTTCCTGTTGGCTATTCTGTGGTCCTTTGCTCTGCTTGCCCCATTCTGGCAGGTGTCGTGGTGTGAGGGCTGCTTCTTTTTAGTGCTGATCGCCCAGAGTAGTCAGCCTTTGAGTCTCCAGTTCCTCCAGGGATTTAGATAAGAGTCTTCGTTTTCCTGGTTGCCTGGGAGGGTCGCTGCTTCCATACGCCTTTCATGGACGTGCTGCCAGCTCCTGACCGCCTGGGCGGGGACCCATTCCCCATGCACCTGGCCTCCCTTGTTAGCCTCTGTCCTGCTTGACGCTGGCTGTAGCCTTGCTTTGACGTCATGTCCAGCGGTGGCCAGCACCGCAGAGAGAGTGGCGGGGTAGGGGAGATAAGTGTGTTCCTCCTGGGCCAGGGTCTCTCTGCTGTTGGGTCTCACACAGGACCACGGACACCATGTGCCTCTGGTGCAAACCTTTTCCCATCATCTCCAGGGCGGCAGGCCTAGAGCTGCCCGCCAAACACCTGACCAGCCTCCAGGACAACACTTTGGCACTTAAGCCACCAATAACCACTGTTTACAACTCTTAACCTTCCCTTGAGCTATATTAATCTTAATAATGTTATTAAATTATTTAAAATATTATACATTTAAGACAACCATAAAGAGTTCATTTTTCTGATCAACCACAATATTCCTTACAGCAATACAGACAATATTTTGTGTAATCTTATCAAACACTTAAGATGATGGTATATCACCCTGGCTGGTGTGGCTCAGTTGGTTGGAGTGTCATCCTGTACTTGGAAAGGTCAAGGGTTCGATTTCCAGTCAGGGCACATACCTAGGTTTTGTGTTTTGTCCCCAGTTGGGGCGCATACAGGAGGCAACAAATCAGTGTTCCTCTCTCACATCGAGGTTTCTCTCTCTCTCTCCCTTCTTCTGCCTAAAATCAATAAATATGTCCTCGGGTGAGGATTTTAAAAATAATAAAATAAAGTGATGGCGTATCATGCACGTATCTCAGAGCACAGAGAATCAGCTTGGAGACTTGGGCTGCTGGTGCAAGTGCAGCCACTGAGACTGGGAATGAACCCTGCCACAGGGCGGCGTCAGAGCAGGAGGTCTGGTGACCACGGCTGGCTTCAAACTCTGTCCTGTGACTTTGGGGGAGTGACTCCCCCTCTTTTCCCTCACTTCCAGTATCTAAAAAATGGAGGTGCTAATAGCATCTGCTTCACAGGGGATGGATTTTAAACGAGTGTCGTCCTGTAAAGCCTTCACAGTCATGCCTGGTACTTCGGCAGTGTGCCTCGCATTTGTTAATATTCCTGTGCTGAATTTGTGTTATTACTACTTGTATCTGGTGCCAGAGTCTAAGCTTTTCACCACTACGGTGAACTTTGGGATATTTGCAAAAGCAGTGATAAGAGTGATACCAACCTAGGACCCAGGAAAATAAATAGAGGACCTCAGGATGCCCACCCTGCAGCACACTAGTCTGTGAGCCCCCTGCCTGTCACATGACCCTCCTCTGGAGATGGTGACGTGGAAGAGACCGGAACTTCCCGCACACGGACGCGTTACAGGGCAGCTTCCAGCGGGATGTGATACGTAAGAAAGGAGGAGCCAGATTAGCAACACATTTTTATAAACGACAAACTTGCAGAGTGACTTTTGAAAGCATAGTTATACTTTTAGCAAATTACATTTACTCAAAAAGTTGAATTAAAAATATATTTTTAAATGTATGAATCCCTATTAGCCATGTACCCATCAGTGCAATTGGTGGGAACAGGAAGAGGGGAGAGAAAGGAATTGTGACGAGTAATGAGCAGAGAAGGGATTTGGTGTGTGTAGGGTGTGGGGGGAGGAGGCAATGACAGTATAACTCACAATGTGTTCTGGGAGCAACCCTGCCTGGAAATGAAACCCCAGAGCATCTCACTGATGAGGAACAAGGTATATATAAAGAAAGAAATTTCAACCTACAACCCAAATGATGCAAAACAAGCAGGGATGGTTGACTGGCATGCACAGGCGAGGGAAGGGCTGTGTTACGTGCCCACAACCCAAGAGGAGGCTCTAAGGAACTATGGATGTGGTATAAAAATATGCCAGGATCCACATTCTACATTAAAATTAGAAGAATTATTTTTAAATCATACTGTACATAAATTCCTTTGCTTAGAAAATAGCACTAAATGAAAAAAATCCAAACTGCACTAAAAAAAAATATTTTTTCATACACTATTGAGGTTGGTGGGAACAGAGTAGGATGGGTCGATGGAATCAATAATGAGCAGAGAAGTTCACCACGGGAAAGGGGCTGTGATGCTCCTGGGTGGTGTACTCAGGGATTCGTGCCTGATCATTTCCTGCTTCGCTCTGCCCTCTGTCTCTGGCCACAAACCCTTGCAGCCTCGCTTGCCAGCTGCCTTGTCATTGCTTCCTGCTGGGCTCCTAACCTGGGAGACACCAGCAAGAGACTGGAGAGAGGGACCAAGGGGGAAGCCAGGTTTTCCCCGTCACTGTCTTGGGCAGCAATTCTGGCAGTAGATGCATCCCCCATGACTACCTCCCACCAAGCAGGCCAGCCATGGTCCAGCCTCTGCCTAGCCAGTGACCTTGGCACATGAGCTCACCCTTGGTCCCTCCCACAGCTTCCTGTTGACTGTTGTTCAGGTGGCCACATTTCTCCATCTGGACTTCTCAGCTCTCCCAGCAGCTGTATAACTAATCCCCTGGGTTAATTTCCTTCTGCTCCACAAGCTTATAGAGCTTTGTATTTTCCTGTTGGACCCTGACTGATGGTGGAAGCAAATAAAATATCTATGAATCAAAACATGGTTTAGGTACAGCCCCGCCTGAAAATGGACTCTCAGAACACCTCCGTGAAACACAGCAGATAAATATGAATGAAACAGGTACAACCAGTGATAACAACGATGCACTAGAAAGCCACCAAGCAAATGAACAATGTGCCCAAGAGTGTGAGCCAGCAGGTAAGACTGGGTGGCTGGGCTTGGTGAGTATGGAGGGGCCACGGGGTACTTGCAGGGGGCAGAGTGAAGTAGGCACAATTCAAGGAGACATCTATTAACAAAGAGGGAAATCTCACAGATGCACAGAGTGCAGAAATGGAGACTGATATATTTGTTTTGTTTTGTTTTGTTTTATCCTCACCCGAGGACATTTTTCCATTTTTTTGTACAGATAGAGTGGGAGGGAGAGAGAGGAAGAGACAGAGAGAGAGAAACATCGATGTGAAAGGGACACATCGAGTGGCTGCCACCGCACGACCAACCAGGGCTGGGGACAAACTGCAACCGAAGTAAGTGCCCTTAGCGGGAACCGAACCCGGGTCTCTCCGGACCACAGGCTGACGCTCTAACCGCTGAGCCAAACCGGCCAGGGCGAGACTGATATATTTATAGGAGAGACCTGGAGAAGGAAAGAGAGAAATACTCAGAGGCAAAAAGTGAAGAACTACAGAGCCTCACTGGGGAAGACAGACAGAAACAAAAGTCAGAATAAGCCAGGGAGAGATTGGCCGTGGAACCAGTGAAGCACAAACACCTTCGTGGGTCGAGGTGACAATATGTGCAGTCAGGCTCTAAGCAGGACAGGAGAAGAAAAAAGAAGCCAGGGAGGTACAACAACATGGTAATAGGCAGAGCAAGGCTCTGTAGGACCTCAGCTGTTGTCTATTTTATTTCAGGGTCCTGCAACCACATACGCACCCAAGGAAATAATGGAAATGCAAGAATGGAGACACCCAACCCATGGCCCTCTAATGAAGAAAGTAATTATTACCTACCTTACCAGTCATTTAAGTATATCGTTGTTTTTCTAGGAGAGCAAAGGCTGTTCTTTGTTCTCCCTTAGTAACCATCTCCCCCACCCACCTAAACAGTACCCAAGACACACACTTGTGCACAGCTTCTGGCCACTTTTAACAGGTAGAAGAGACCAGGGAGAGAGACTATGGAGAAGGTGGACTGGGAACACCAGACAGTAATGTGCAAGAGTAAGATAGAGTTTACCTAAATTGACGTGGAATCCAGACTGTGCCATGTTGTGGAGTTGGTGAAAAGAAATAACTTACATTTTGTTTTTGAGAAGTTGTAACAGAAACATAGAAGTCATGGCGATGCTGCTGGGTAGTTTTTCAGGAGAGGAAGCCTGGGTGAAGGACCTGTAGAATGAAGTGGCAGGTGGAGGGACTTGGTGCAGTGAACAAAAGCGCAGGGGGGCGACTTTGGTGATGTTCTGAATGCTGGAGATGAGGAAAATACATGGAAAGATGAAACTGGCGCAGAAGAGGCATACAGGGGTCACATTACTAGGAAATGGGCTAGGACGGAAGAAAGTGCGAGCCGTGACAGAGGGCGGGTGAACTGATGAATCCAGGAGGGGAGAGCAGGGCCAGGTCTAGACTGAGGAGGGAGACCCTCGGGCATGGATAAGGAGAATCTCACTCTCAGCACTTTCTTGTGTCCTGGGCACCTCATTTGCGTCACCCTAGACCCTGCTGGGCCCTGAGGAAAAGTTATAAAACTGTGGAGGAAAACAGAATGAAGAAAGACACATACAGAAGGAAATAAATACCAGTACATAGGAAAGGGGGAGAGGGGACAAAGAGAACTACGTAGAACTGAGTAAAGACGTGCATAAAAAAGACTGAATAAAAAAGCTGGTAGAGCCTGGCTGGTGTGGCTCAGTGGATTGAACATTGTCCCATGGACTGAGAGGTCCCGGTTTGATTCCCGCTCAGGACACATGCTCAGGTTGTGGGCTCGATCCCCAGTAGGGGGCGTGCAGGAGGCAGCTGATCAATGCTTCTCTCTCACATCAATGTTTCTATTTGTCTCTCCCTTCCTCTCTCTCTAACAACAACAACAACAAAAAAAAAATCAATAAAAAACATGTTTTAAAAAAAGAACTGGTAGAGAGTGGACCAAATAAACAGAGAGAGCAGACAAATCAAGACATTGTCCTCTTTGAGAGACAGCCACAGAAGAAAAGGCACAGGGGGCTGTTCAAATACCACAAAGAAGTAAGGTGTCCACAGTGATCAGAGTGGCCCTGGACCCCTCTCAGATAAAAACAGGCCTTCTATGGCTTCTCGGCCTTCTGATCAGGTGTAATATCTATTTTTATCAGTTTGGTATCTGATCCATCCTCTATCTGAGGAAAATGTTTTGTTGAGTTTTACACTAGAAACCTGTATGGTTTTATGAACCAGTGTCACCCCAATGAATTCAATTAAAAAAAATAAATTTTTTAAAAATGGCCTCTTTCCAGCCATCTCATCCTTTCCATGGCTTCAGGCACCATCTGTGATCTGTTGATTTCTAAACACACATCTGCAGCCCAGACGTGTCACCTAGGCTCATTCCACCAAGTGTCTACAGATCTTTATGGGGACAGCTAATGGACATCTCTCTGGGAGGCTGTGTCAGCTAGCTACTGCTGAGTGACAAACAGTCCCAAAACTTAGTGGATTAAAACAACCATGATTCTATATGCCACTTCTGTCGATTCTAACCTTAAAAAAATCTCCAACCTGTCCATTTTTTTCCACCCCCAGCACAGTCACTCTAATCCAGATCACTTCTCACTTCAAGAGAGGAACAGTCTCTGGCTGGGCTCCTTCCTCATCTCTTGCTCCCCTCAGATCTATTCTCTGCACTTCAGCTCTAAGGGCCTTTCAAAAATTCAAACAAGGACATATGACTCTACTGTCTAAAACCCAATACCATCTTGTAGCCCTCGGCATTAGGTCCACACTGCGTGCTGCGGAGATTAAAGGACACTTACCCACCCTTCATGTCACCTTCCCTCTGAACAAACGCCTTTTAGTTACTTGAATTTTCCAAGCTCTCATAACTACATCTCTGCCTTTACATATATTTTTGGAAAACACTTTGATATAATCCTCCAATGGTTTTATTTTTTAATGGATAATTTTTATAATGGAATACTATGCAGCAGTGAAAATGAATATGGAAAATCAATACAGATGACTATAACACATGTAATGTTGAGAAAGGAAGTCATATCCCCACAGCCAAATGGAAGAGAGGCAGAGAGAGAAGGCATGATTCCATTTACACAAATTTATATAAATTTCAGAACTGATAAAATTAATCATCCATGATGTTCAAAGTCAAAGTGATGGATGACTTGAGCAAGATCAGTGGGACAGCTAGTGGCAGGCATCACTAAGGGGATTCTGGGGTGTTAGTAATCTATTACTTGACCAAAGTGATGGTTACTCAAATGTACCTCCTCTGTAATAATTCAAAATATTTGATTTACCCATTTTTATCCATGTATGTGTACTTCAATTATGGTTTTTATTTTTGAAAAGTAAAAAAAAAAAAATATCAAAGAATGAGAAGATTAGGTAAAAAGAAAGTAAATTTTTTAAAAACCCAGAGTTAAGAGAGACACGAAGAAAGGACCGAGTTGAGCAGCAGGAAAGAAGGGTGTCAGGGGAGCTCCCCCTGCAGTGAGATCACAGGAAGAAGGCTTGTTGGTTGTAGTGCTCACTCCCTTCTGGGGAGTCAAATAAAGTTCTTCATTTGTTACAATTTTGTCCAGGATCACAGCTACCTTGCCACGAAATGAAAATAAATTCCTGTTCAGTATATCTGGTGGATATAAAGAAGGAAAAGCCATATTTTAATTCAGAAGTTGAAAAGCAAACCCAAACAAGGACTAAATGTAGCCAGGCATCTGACATAATAGGTAAGACTGACTGAAAGAATGTGGGATGATACTGGGAAAGGGTCTGGAACACGTCCTCAGGGTCCACTGAGGAGATCCAGGTGACCTTGGATGGAGGCAAGAGAGGAGGGAGCCAGCACCTTAGCAGTGATTTGGGCAGAAAAGGGTTCCCAGGAACTGAAAAAAATACCCAAAGCCTGCAATTGCAGATGTAAGTATTGATGTCTGAGAGACTATTTCTAAACCAAGAGAGTAAATTATGGTGATAGGAGATGAAGAGAAGAGAAAAATCCCTTTTTTAAAAAATCAGAGAGCCAAGATACTTCTGAGAGAAATGGAGAAAGAAGACATGAAGAGAAAGAGAGATAGAAAGAGATACCATCCCCAGAAAGACAGGCATAATTAGGGGAAATAGGCTGAGCTGAGCAGAAAGTGAAGAAGTAAAATGAGAATGAAAGAAGAGGTAGAACGAGGGTGGGGATCGGAGGCGGACCGAGGATGGAGGTAGGAGGTGGGGTGCGTGTGGGTAAGAAGGGCGCTGCAGGTGGGCAAGCTGCCCGCTGTGCATGGAATCCACCACCTCTGGGTAGGACCTGGAGCAACCTGCAGGTCACACGCATCAGGCACAGACCAGGGGCACCTGAGTTAACTTAGTTTCTAGGTCTTCTGGTGCTCTTGGTATGGGGTTTCCCATCCATGGGCTCCTTGAACCCACCCTGAGACACTAAGCAGTTTTTCTCCTCTGTGCAGTGATCAGCAGTGATGAAGATGAACAACCCAAAAGCCCCACTGAGGAACAAAGAAGGAGTCCTGGTAAGGAGGTGGGAGCACAAGGCTTGGGCTGCTGGGACCTGAATTAAGAGCTACTGTTTCCTGAGGCATCAGTTCTGAGTTCATTCTGTACCATGGATCCAGTTTATCCTGGAATCCCATTCTCTGCATTTATTTTACTTTGATTTTGGGGGGAAATGCAGGAAGAAATCATGATAGATAGATAGATAGATAGATAGATAGATAGATAGATAGATAGATAGATAGGAAGAAATCATGATTGATAGATAGATAGATAGATAGATAGATAGATAGATAGATAGATGATAGATAGATAGATAGATAGATAGATAGATAGATAGATTTAGATAGAAAGAGTTATTAAATAAACATATACATATTTTTGAGGATGACATCTATTGATGGGTCCTATTAGTCAACATATGGACCCTATATTGATTGTATAGTAGAAATGAGCTAGCACGGTGATAAGTTTATTTTAAAACTAACACCTATAAAGTGTTGGATTTCTATGGTAATTTCTATAGAGAACAGAAACCTAATGTTTCGTTAGGTCATGTTGTCATCTGATTACAGACTTTGAATCATATCTGAAGACAATTCATCCAACTCTCCAGTGTTAGAAGAAATAAAGACTTAAGATAGGTTTCTGAAACCCAAAGTGTTATTTTTGACAGAGTTCTCCAGCAAGTCATGACATATAGAGTGATTTTTCAAAGGACTTTTGCAAATAGTATCTTACTTTTTCCTTTACAACAACCCTGAAGAGTAAGCAGGACAGATATTGGTGTCCTTGTTTCCAGATGAGAAGATACAATCACATAAATCTTTCCGGGTCATCTACAAAGTCCCCTGGAGATTAAGAGAAAGACAAAGCTACTGTCCTGGATTCTGTTTTATTTTTTATTTTTTGTAAAATCAGAGCTCAGAGTGGTTGACAAAATGTTGTTCCCTCAATCCCATGGGCAGCATGACTGGTCCTAAGCTCTGTGGCTCTTTAGTGCACAGATTGGTGACTGGTTTTCCCTTCAACTTTCTCAGAGGATATTGGGCACATGCCTGTATAGGAAAACACACTAGGAAAAGGCCTAAGAACAAATAAAAATGTAACCTGGTCTTGATGTTACAAAAGATCAGTATTTCAAATAACATGTTCTTTCAGTTGCTCACTAGATCTATCAAAGTAAAATGTAAATTTGCTTCAGTTTCTAGGAAGTACACGTTCTAACTTGTGTCTTAGTGTAGGCAAACTGCTCTAAAAGGTGGTCCCAGTATAGGTCTGTAGGTCTCAGACACAAGAGAAGATTAGTTCCCAGCTTTGTTGACAGTTCAGTGGACACCAGGGTGTGCAGGAGGCTCTCTGCCTTTAACACAAGATTTCCCCACAAAGAAACAGCAGAGGAGGAAGTGTGAAATGATGACAGAAGGGGTAAGAGGAGAAAGAGAGAGAAGTGCTGGAGGGTAAGATTCAAAGAGAGCAGAGGGGCCCCTTGCCAGTGACTTGTCTCTGCTCTGGTAGGTGACTTCGAAGGGCAAACCAAGTGCCTGTGTATAGGCTGTGGTATACATGGGTTTTCAAGATTTTTCAAGTTGTATTAGGGGACTTCCTGCTGCATCAGTCCCTTGGTTACACTGAGACACCTAAAGAATCCTATTTGTTTTTGCAGTGATCAATTATAACCTTCACTACTTACAATCAGACGAGGAAGGAGATACCCAAGAAGCCACCTGCTCAGCACCCAACACTGCAGCACGTAAGAATATTAGGATTGCATTCCTGGAAAAAATATCCAGAGTCTAAATCCAGAGCTCTGTTTCCTGATGAATCTTATTCAGACATTCTCTATATTCATTGACTTGATTACTTGCAGCACACCATTTTCTGCACTTAACTTCTTTGACCCTATTGGAATATGAAAGAGGGCAAAAAGACATTGTCAACTTTTGTTTAACTGGATAAGCCCAATCAATTGATATATCAATTTCAATCAATTGATATATTGCAAATGTACCAATAATACACTAGTACATGACAGTCTTTTTTACTACACACTATCGAATCTATTAATGCTAAAGAGTTGAGGTAATATGCTTAGTTTCTACCAACATGCTTTATATTTTATACTGCATCATCACGGTACTTCTGTATTTGTTGACAATATTGTCATTAGTCCCCAATTTAGAAAGACTTCAAAGAATAATTTGTGCTGCTATTTAATTATTGACATAGAAATAACTTCAGCGCAACTACTCTTGAACCCAAAAGATAGTTAAATCATGAACTTACATTGTGATTTTTCACAGGGCTTTTATAAATAAAAGCTCATTTTGTTTTTACAAAAACATTAATAGGGAGATAGGATAACTAGGTTATCCCAGCATTAGAGTGGAGAAACCAGAGGTAATAAAGTTTAAAGGAGAGTAGAAAGCAGAGCCAGACAGGAACCCAGCATTATGAGCCTGGGCACCAGAACTTGATTCAGTTTAAGAAAAGATGAAAATGACCCTGGCTGGTTTGGCTCAGCAGATAGAGCGTCAGCCTGCGGTCCAGAGAGACCTGGGTTCAGTTCCTGCTAAGGGCATGTACCTCGGTTGCAGTTTGTCCCCTGCCCTGGTTGGGTTGTGCAGGTGGCAAACACTCGATGTGTCCCTTTCACGTTGATGTTTCTCTCTCTCTCTCTCTCTCTCTCCCTCCCAGTCTATCTGAACAAAAAATGGAAAAATGTCCTTGGGTGAGGATAAAAAAAAAGAAAAGATGAAAAATGATCATCTCAACATCAATATTATCGTAGAATTTTTAAGACTTTTGTGTACAGATAGCTGTTTCTTTCCTCCTATTTTCAGAGCCTGTGGATTTCAGAAAATCACCTGTGTGCAGGAAAAGACTTTGGAAAACTGGTAAGAATAAATAAGAACTCTTCATAGTCATAAGTGAACAATATGTCCTACAAAATATTAATTCTAACCTTTTTTATGTCCTTCAAAGTAAAATATAAATTTGCTTTAATTTTGACCAGTTTGGATTTTAACCTTTGTATAAGTTAGGCTAATGGTAACATATAAACACAAAGAAGTCAAAGACTCAGACACAATAGAATTTAATTTTTTTCTCCAGTAAACAGCCCTAGGAGTATTAGATGGGGGAGGGTGGGGCTCTATTTTGCAAAGTCGTTCTGGGAAACAGTCAAGTGGGAGATTCGCCTTCTTCCACACCACATTTCTAAGACATCCCTAGGAGAGGAGCAGAGCTAAAAATAAGTGTGAATACAGATCCAACAGCAACAAATCCATAAAGAGACGAGTAACAGGAGAAAGAGAATCTGGGGTAAGGAAACAGAGGTCCAAGAGAAAGCAGAGAGGCCCCCGGGGGTGAAGTACCTTAGCCCAGGCTCAGGGGACAGGAGGGATAGCACCGACCTACAGGTCAGGTGAACACGAAAGGCAGGTGGCGGAGGTCTGAGGGAGGGACATTCTAGCCCTGGGTTTTCAGAGCTTCCCAACTCTCCCTCCCCGGGTCCTGCTCACACACAGACCTCCAAGGGCCATTTGCTCTTCCGCAGGGAGAAGTCGGGAAGGGTCTTCGGAGTCCAGCGCAGACGAGACGCCCCCAGTGCTCTGGAGGTCTGCAGAGAGAAGTCCTGACGAGGAGGGTGAGGACTGCCATCGCCAGGCTCCAGGACCGCAGGGTCTGAGTCGCTCCCGTTGCTCTGAGCACACACCACGGCCCTGCAGCCCATTCCCGCCTCCATCTCTGTGGTCACTTTCCAACCTGTGAAGAAAGGAGACAGTTCGGGCTCCACAGGAAGCTCCAGTCGGAGGGCAGCGCGTCTCACTCCATGTTCGCAGACGTGTCCTCCCTCAGAGTGGTGGGCCACACAGTGCTGTCCCCACTCCCCACCCATTCTGTGCAGAGCAGGGACAGAGGGACGGTCAGCTCTGGCTCAGTTTTGTCACAAACTTGTTCAAACCTCAACTGACTCTGGTCATACGCTCTATTTATTGACAGAAGGAAAAGCGTCTGGTTGTTACGATCAAATCCCATTTATAACTTTTGTCAGATGACCCCCAACATGACATTGGCCTATATAGTGATATTTCAAAACAACAAATTGTGGGAAAACATGTGATAAAGAGTTTACACAGCCTTATGGTAGCTAAGTCCAGATTCATTGCCAAATTAGTTAGCTGCCAATCTATGAAAAAATGTTGGTTTTCAAAACCTCTTTGATACTACATATGGGCTAAAGGATCATGGGTCTTCGCGTCACTTGGTAGCTATCTCTTTTCTTTAGCTGGGAAGAGACAAGAATGACCATCATCCTATCTTTATAGTCTAAATTTTTCTACAGTGTGAGGAGTCATAAGATTTAACTCTTTTCGTTATAGATTACTGGTTGTGTTCTCCTTTACCTCCTAGATTCTACAGATATCGAAAACCAACCTACTTGGATGAGGAGCAATAAGAAAAAACGTGAGAACAATTAAAACTTTTTTTTCTATTTTTTTAATCTTTAATGTTGAATGTATTACAGATGTTCCTCATTTCTCCCCCATTGAGCTCCTCCCCCAAACTCCTGCCCCGCTCCCGCCTTTTTCCACACTGTTGTTTGTGTCCATTGGTTATGCATATAAGTTCTTTGGTTTATTTCTTCACACCTCCCTCCCCAACCCCCTTCTCTTTGACATTTGTCCGTCCAGCAACCAATTTGTTCTTAATCTCTTCACCTTTTTTCACCCATTCCCCCAAACCCCCTCTGATCTGGCAACCAACAAAATGTTCTCTGTATCTATGAGAATGTTTCTGTTCTGCCTGTTCATTTTCTTTGTAGATTCCACTGTCAATAGATATGTATTCATTGCCATTTTGCTTATTTATATATTTTATCTTTTTCTTTAAAAAGACGCTTCAACATTTCATATAATAACGGTTTGGTGGTGATGAAATCTTTTAACTTTTTCTTGTCTGGGAAAGTCTTTATATGGCCATCGATTCTAAATGACAGCTTTGCAGGATAGAGTAATCTTGGTTGTAGGTTCTTGCTTTTCATCACTCTGAATATTTCTTGCCACTCCCTTCTGGCCTGCAAAGTTTCTTTTGAGAAATCAGCTGACAGTCTTATGAGAACTTCCTTGTAGGTAACTAACTGCTTTTCTCTTGCTGCTTTTAAAATTATCTCTTTGTCTTGAACCTTTTGCATTTGGATGATGATGTGTCTTGGTATGGGCCTCTTGGGGTTCATTTTGTTTGGGACTCTCTGTGCTTCCTGGACTTGTATGTCTGTTTCCTTCACCAAATTAGGGAAGTTTTCTGCCATTATTGTTTCAAATAGGTTTTCGATTTTTTGTTCTCTCTCTTCTCCTTCTGGCACCCCCAAGATGCGTGTGTTGGCATGCTTGAAGTTGTCCCAGAGGTTCCTTACACTATCCTCATTTTTTTGGATTCTTTCTTTTTACTGTTCTGATTGGGTGTTGTTGTTTTTTTTCTTATATTCCAAATCGATATTTTGCTTCTTGGCTTTACCTACTCTACTATTGAATCTATATAAATTATTTTTTTATTTCAGTTAGTGTCTCCTTCATTTCTGACTGTGCATCCTTCATTTCTGACTGGTCCTTTTTTATGCTCTTGAGGCCCTCACTTAGTTCGCTGAGGTTCTCACTAAGTTCATTGAGCATCCTTATAAGCAGTATTTTGAACTCAGCATCTGTTAGGTTGCTTATCTCCATTTCGCTTAGTTCTTTTCATGGAGATTTTTTCTGTTCTTTCATGTGGGACCTGTTTCTTTGTCTCCTCATTTTGGCTGCCTCCCTGTGTTTGTTTCTATGTATTACTTAATAAGAGGTATGGTCCTAGCTGAGACCAGATGCTGTTTGATTGAAAGAATTTAAGAAAACCTGAAGCAGGATTCAAGACAGGCCAATCCTGTGGTTAAGCAACTGGCACAGCTTGGGTGGGCCTGAAATTTGGGTGGGGCGGGGCCTCAGGGAATCACCAGATGGGGCTACCAGTGTCAGCCAGGTTGCTGGAGTCCCAGATATGGGGGCTGTCTGCCGCCCCAGGAAAGGGCTCACCAACAGAGCAAAGACCTCTGACAGCACCTCTGACCCGGAGAAAGCCCCTCTCCAGCCCCCTCTCCAGTGCCAAACAGCTCAGTTCATATCTGTATGTCTCTGGCGCCCCTCGAGCTGCCTCCCCTCCAAGCTCAGAGGGAGAGAGTCTGATAAGTCCATGCTCGGGCCCTTTAAGAGGAGCTGCCTGGGGTTCCAGCCTCCTCAGCCTCCCTGAGCCTCAGTTCCTGCTGGTTTTACCTCCAGAAGTGATGGGGATTCTCTTCCTGGCACTGGAACCCTGAGCAGGGCGCCTGGTGTGGGACAGGGACCCCTCAGTCCTCAAAGAGGACCTTCCCAGCCGAGGTGTCCTGATTTTTATCCGCCACACGTGGGTGTGGGACCAGCCCGTCCCCTCCGCCCTCCTACCAGTCTCGATGTGGCTGCTGCTTTAATTCCGTAGTCGTAGGACTTCCATTCAGCTCGATTTCAGGCGGTTTTGAATGATGGTTGTTCTGTAGTTTAATTTTAACTTTGATGTGGTTGTGGGAGGACGCGATACCGCATTTACCTACCCGCCATCTTGACCGGAAGTCCTAAAACTCTTGATGTAACAAATAGTTTTCTTTATTATAAAAGCTTCAGTCAATTTTTTGGTGATATCTTTTAAATAAAAAAAAGTAATTTATTGGGATTTTAGATGATACACATTATACATTTTGCATTGGGTGGGCTGGGCTAATCGATATAAAAGTTCAATGGCACAAAAGCAATACGAGTTTTTTCTTTACTCACATAAAAACTAAAGTAGTACTGGGGTGGAGGGATGCTCTGCTCCACACAGTCATTGAGGGCCCAGATGATAGAAGCTCTGACATCTTGAAAATATTACTTCCACGGTTCCCCTGGATAAAAAAAAAACAAAAACAGAGTAGAAAAAGAAATGTGTGCAGACAAGTGGAAAGGGTAAAAAAGTGTAAGAAATGGTGACAAAAGGGAATGCCTTCCATGACAAAAAGTGGTGGCTCTACCAACAGGTCAGATGGAGGCCCTGGGTGGCCTGGCAGTAGGAATGCTCCTCCCCCTACTACACGAGCTTCCCTTTTCCAACTTTCCTTTTGACGATTCCATGATGGATTGGTTCCTAGGATGCAGACTGAGACTGTTACAGAATTTTGTTTCTTTCTGCAGGAATCAACAGTGATGACTCTTCAGAACTGAGTAACGGAGAAGAACCTCAGGAAACGTCTAGTTCAGCCCTAAGAAATGGGTCAGGTAAAGAAGATTAAGATGCCAAGCCTTGGCCTGCGAATGTCAGGAATCTGAATTAAAAGCTACTGTTTCCAGATGCATTTTATTCAGAGCACCTTGAAGACATTATACCCAGTTACTCCTGGTAACTCCTTTCAGCATTTTAGAAAATGGAAGGAGGAAGGAAAGTACTATAAACTCGTGTTTAATAGGATGAATCCTATTGACTAAATGTATATAATTATACACTGCTGTTTTAGAAGAAATAAATAGCAAAATTATAATATCTTTTTAAATACCTTCTGTGATGCCCACCAACACTAAGATCTTAGATCTCTATTGGTTCACATTAATGTCGTTTGTGATTGTAAAAGAGAACTGGTTCTACTTTGTAATTATAGACAGAAATAAAAGCTTCAGATCAACCATTCTCAAACTTTAGTATAGTTTTTGACAGATTTCCATCACATTGTAATTGGATCATATCATGTTATTTTAAAGTAAGTATTTTAAATCTTATTTGTTGGCAAATAGGATTTTACTTTGTCATCACAAAATTCTTAAGACTTAGGCAGGCTAATTCTTGCTATCCCCATTTTAGGATGAGGAAATTGTACCAATTTATAAGGGTCAAAAAGGGTGAATGTTGTATGTAACAGGCAGGAAGATAAGAACTATGTTATATGATCAAAGTCCAAAGAGGAGGTACAAGGGACCTGGTGTAGTCACAGGTGCCTGATACAAGAAAACTTACTTAGCAACAACAATTTATATATATATATATATATATATATATATATATATATATAGTTAGTTAGATGTATAACCACCTATATTGGTGTGGATATTCATATGTTAATATATATGTATCTTGAGAGAGAGGGAAATATGAAAATCATAAAGAAACAAAGAGGTAGGAATAGAGCCAGCTATATGATATACAAAACACCTAGAATAATAAAGCTAAAAAGAATGAACAGAGAAATAAAAATAAACAGATTAACAGTATCATTGATTTAAAAAGAGAGAAACATAAATTAAGGACAGAGAAGATCTCAGAACCAATGTGGTGGAGATAGAAACGTGTAAGGCAGAACAATGAGAAAAACACGGAGAAGTAAGAAGAGAATGAGGTATGGCTAGAAAGAAAAAGAGACAACTATCTGTTGTATGTGAGGTGTAGTCATTGGAGTAGGTGACTTTCCTTAGTGCATCTGAGCTGTGAGCATAATTCAGCATGACCACCTTGAAGTGTGTTCCTGGTCACCATGTATTGTGTGTCATTTTCTTACTTCCCTTCAGTGCCCTGTGGATTCAAAGTTCTCCAAATGAATAGAGAGGAAGAGCGTCAGAAGAGATACCAGCCTGTTAGAATGTGGTGGAGAAGCCAATTGTGATACCACTTATCAGTTATCTTTATTTCCCTGTCGGCACAGAGAGAGAGCTCTTCCTTCTTTTCCCTACTTCTCCCCCCAAACATTGCCGCCTATGTGCACACAAATGAACACACACTCATGTACAGACAGACTTGGCACAGATTAGGACGGCATCATCCCATCTGAGGAAACGGAAGAGAAAAAAGAGCAGGGCTCCTGAATGCAAGGAGGGGACACTGAGTAGATGATGTAAGGAGGAAGAGTGGAAAAGGTAGGCTGGGGTCATCAAAGGAAAAGGTATCTGAGTAAGTTTCAAGTTTTTCTAAGTGGACATAGAATCCAAATCTAACCAGAAGGGGGTTCTGTAGGGGAAGAAGGATGACTTTCAAGACACGTCTCGGAAGCTTACCAGAAATGTAGTGAAGAAGTTCATGACTGACTGACAGACTGGCAATGCAGAAAGCTCTTAGGAAACTGGCAACAGAAATAGCGGTCAACATCAAGGTCAATGTCAAAAGGGCAGGCGCTTGGTGATGAGAAAAGTACTAATTTGTAAGATTAAGCCCCACATAGACAAAGAAAATATAAAGACAAAGATTGCAACTGGAAAAACAGCCAAGAGATCAAGATTGAGAGAAGGAAGCAAAGAAGCCAAGAAACAGACGGGAAGTGACAGTGGAGAGAGGATCATTTCAATAATAAAACCAGGTCCCGAGATAGAGGCACAGAGAACTAGATGGGCATGAGATACATACAGGGGGTAATCAATGGAGAGGCACTTAGGAGGCACAAAAAGAACTAAAGAAAGTTAAAATGAGAGAGAAACGTAAGAGGGGGCAGTAGGAAAGGGAGAGAGAAGAGAGATGAAGAAATGGCGGGATCTGAGATGACCATGAGACAAAAGCAATGGCTGCACAAGGGGTGATTCACACCAGCAGTGCGTTTTCAGGGTATGGTGTCCCCAGGTATCAAAAGCAGCCCCTGTAACTCACCCAGATTACCAGAGATGTCACCAGGCATTGTGGCTTCAATCACCATCTACAACCTATTGGTTCCTAAACATACATCTCTAGCCCAGCCTTCTAAGCTTCTAAACTCATGCGTCCAACTGTCAGGAAGACCTCTGGTCAAGGTCCTGAAGACTTGAGCCTTCTCCACTTAGATTCCTTCAGATTGAAACTCAGCTCTTCCAAAACTGAGCACATCACCTTTTCCCCTAAAACCAGCATCTGCTTCCCGTGTTCTCTAGCTCTGAAACACACTATTAATTTATCCATTCTTTCAAGTTCATATTCTCAGAGTCATCAAGATAGCCCTCTGTAACTTATTAATTCTTCCTTTTAAATGTCTCCAGCCTGTCCATGCACCTCCATCCCCAGTGCTATCACTCTCATCAATGTAGACATTGAAGTTTGTCTATATCACTTCTCACTGGAACTAGAGTGACAGGCTCCTGCTTGTCCCCTGCTTCTAATCTTGTTCCTACCAAACGTATTCAAAGTGACTTAGTCAAACTGGTCTTTCAAAAATGCAGATGTGTCCATTTTGCTACCCTACATAAAATCCAGTGTCCTTAACTTTCTTTTAGGATTCATGTGGCCCCCAGACCCACCTACCTCAAGGCTCCTGCTCCTTCTCCATCGTCATCATTGCCACTAACTTTCCTATTCCATCTTCAGACATTCTAAATCCCTCTTGGTTACTTGCATTTGCTGAATGTAGACCTTTGCATATGCTTCTCCATTTATTTGGGACTATTGTCTTGGTCCCTTTTCTCCATAATTGGGATAACTCCTGCATCCATGATACTTCCTCTGGGAGGGGTCCCTCATCTCAGACTAAGCTAGCTCTTCCTGTCTTATTCCCCAACACCACCTCCAGAGTATTCTGTGCAATCTGTGTTCTAACATTCTTCAGTTTTCAATATATTCACTTCTTTATGTGTCAATGTCATGGTTGCTTTTAAGATTGACAAGCAGGGATGCCTCAGTAGTCTTATGCCCTGTATTGTTATCAGTGTTCATCTCAGCACCTGGCACATAAGGGTTTAACAAATTTGTTGAGTAAATGGAAAGAATTGTTCACTCTCTGTTTTCCGACATCTGGAAGTTTGTCTGGCAAAAGTTAGTTTATTCGAGTATTTATATGGTAGGTTTACAAAAATTATTTTAACAATTATATATACATATGTGTAGACATGTCAATGTAACAGTATTTCTGGAAAATAATAACATTTCACAAAATAAATACAAATGTCTGCGAAATGTCTGCGAATGGGTGGGAGAAACACAAAGAAAAAAAACAAAGATGCAGATTTTGGGCAAAGAGAAAAAGAAAATAGAGAAAAAAAAACACACCAGATTGAAAGGAAGGGACAGAGACAATGAGAAGCAACAATAGACAAAGAGATTTCAGAGGTAGAGCCATCCTTTGATGTTGGGGAAAAGGAAGATGGTTGGAGGGCAGGGGATGCAAATTAAAATTGCAAATTAAAATTTTTTACAAATCATAACATAGGAGCAGAGCTCCAAGGAACTGGAAATGAGGAGTGTCCCTGTGTCATGTGTTCATCCAAAGGTGTGCCAAGAGGCCAAGAAGCAAAGACTGAAAGTACCCAAGCATCTGACATGATGGGTAAGGCCGCCCAAGGGTCTTGGGGTGGAGGCGATTCAGCAGATACCGCAGATCCTTGGTGTATCAAGGTTCAAGGACAATGTGAAGCTGCTCACCAGCAGGGAATAGGTCGGTTATGAAGGTGAGAGTCACAGGACCCAGGCTGCAGGATGTCAGGTGTCTGAAATCAGAGTTTCTGTTTCCTGATGCACTTGACTCTGACAACCCTTTGATAAGGAAGGGGCCTAGTCCATGTCAGAATCTCATGCTCTGCATTTGCTTGACCTGACGCTTTGGGGAACAACTGGGAGGCAGGAGATCATGATCACAGTCGTGATTAACAAAATGGGTCCTGCTGATTTTACATGGATGATGTAGTAGAAACACACTGACTTAAAAAACAAAAACCAGTATCTTGTGTACTCTATTAGCGTATCAATACCAAAATGTTGGATTTGTATAATTACTTCCACCCTTGTTCATGGAGCAAAGAAATCCAAGTGTTCTTCTGTTGATAGATAATGGTGTCACCTTGTCACAACCTTGAAAAGACCTCAAAAGACAAATAAATGGTACTGCTATCTGTCAGGAAAAAGACCTCAACTAACTATTCCTAGGCTCAACATATAGTTTTGAAGGCTGCCCTCCAGCATGCTGTTGGTTTATATAGCAATTAGTCATTAACTTTCACAAATAAGACCTTATTTCATTTTCATTAAGAAATCTAAAGCCTGAACAGGATAACTTTTACTCCCTACCCACTTCATAAATGAGGAAACGGATGCATATATGTAACAAAGAGTTTTTCAAAGTCTCAGAGAAATAAAGACCTTAGATATAAATTTGTATATCTGATTCATTTAGACACTCAGACATCATTATAAACTCAAGCCTTCCACAATGTGAACTGTCATAAGATTTGTAATTTTTATTTATTTTTTTAATCCTCACCAAAGGATATTTTTTTATTGATTTTTTTTTTCAGATAGAGTGAGAGGGAGAGAGAGGGGGTGGGGGGAGAAAAACATCAATGTGAGAGAGACACATCAATTGGCTGCCCTAACTGGGACCGGGGAATTGAACCCGCCACCAAGGTATGTGCCTTCGACTAGGAATCAAACTCGAGACTCTGGTCTGTAGACCGACACTTATAACAGCTGAGCCAAAGCAACCAAGGCAAAATTTGTCATTTTTTTTTAGATTTGTAACTTTTATGAAGAAATTACAGTTCTCTGACCACCACTTGTTACTTTCTAGACAACATGGATATTGGAAGAAAGTCTACTTTGGGAAAACACAGTCGGAAAAGAAGTAAGAGTGAATAAGAATTTACTTGATTTTTATGTTACAAATTAACTGTTTTTGTAATGCAAATGTTTATTATCATTATTTTCTATACCTTTCATAAGACCAAAAAAAAAATGTCTTTTAAAGTAACTATTTTTTTCAAAATGCTCATATCTTCATGTTGGTTTTTATTTCGATTTTGAAGTATATGTGGTTTATAAACATTGGTATATGTCTTTCCAGAATTTTTCTATGTATGTATCAGTACATTCTGGAATATAGTTTTATTTATCTAAATAAGTTAATTCTGTGCATACTTGTCCTTTTCTTGCTTTTTAAAATTAATATGTCATACCTAGACAATAAAAACATTTTTTAGTTTCTCTCTTTTTTTTTTTTTTTTAGGGAGAGAGAGATGGAAACATGGATGTGAGGGAGAAACATCCATTGGCTGCCTCCTGCACGCCCCCTACTGGGGATCAAGCCCACAACCCAGCCATATGCTCTGACGGGGAATCGAACCAGGACCTCTCAGTCCATGGGACGGTGCTCAATCCACAGAGCTACACCAGCCAGGCCAAAAACATTTAACATTTTTCAGAGCTATAAAAAATCTTAAATTATTTAAGGATGCTTTAACATACACTATTTTCATTTTTAGTATAGTTGAGCATTTTTTTCATTTGTTTTGGTCATTTGTTTTACTTCTTCATAGAACTCCTTGTCACAGAATGCTGTGTCATTGTTTCCTGTTACAAAAACTTACATATTTATTTTTTTAACATATCCATCACTTCACATAGGTATGGGTTTTTTTATACGTATGTTGAGAGCTTTTCAAATTTACTGTCTGGGCACCTTTCAGATACATACACAGCACATTACTGTTGACTGTGTGCACTTTGTACATTACATCCCCAGAATTTATTCTGGAAGTTTGGACCTTTTGTGTCCTTTGACCACCTTCACTCCCCACCCCCTCGCAACCACCAGTCTGCTCTATTTCTATGAGTTTGTTTTTGTTTTGTTTTTTCCTTTTGTGGATCCTCACCCCACGATATTTTTTCCATTGATTTAAAAAAATTTTTTTTAACTTTATTGTTGAAAGTATTACAGATGCCCCCCCCTTTGTTCTGCCGTTGACCCCTCCTCCCTGCTCCGTCCTCACTCCTGCCTTCCCCACACTATTGTCTGTGTCCATTGGCTATGTATACATGCATAAAAGTCCTTTGGTTTATCTCTTCCCACCCTATCCCCCTTCCCTCTGAGGTTTGTCAGTCTGATCCCTACTTCCTTGTCTCTGGATCTATTTTGTTCATCAGCTTTTGTTCATTATATTCCACAAATAAGTGAGATCATGTGGTACTTGTCCTTCTCTGACTGGCTTATTTCGCTTAGTATAATACTCTCCAGGTCCCTCCATGTTGTCTCAAAGGGTAGGAGATCTTTCTTTCTTGTAGCTGCATAGCATTCCACTGTGCAAATGTACCACAGCTTTTTTATCCACTCATCTACTGATGGGTACTTAGGCTATTTCCAGATCTCAGCTATTGTATATAGTGCTGCTATGAACATGGGAGTACATATATTCTTTCTGATTGATGTTTCAGGCTTCTTAAGATATATTCCTAGAAGTAGGATCACTGGGTCAAATGGCAGTTCCATTTTTTATTTTTTGAGGTAACACCATATTGTTTTCCATAGTGGCTGCCCCAGTCTGCATTCCCACCAGCAGTGTACTAGAGTCCCCTTTTTTCCACACTCTCACCAGCACTTGTTGTTTGATGATTTGTTGATGGCAGCCATTCTGGAAGGTGTGAGGTGATACCTCATAGAAAACTTACATTTTTTAAATCTGGAATTTCATTAGTTAGCCATATAAGAAACACAGACCCATAGAGTTCAATTTTGTTGGCAAAAATAGAGAAAGGCTTGAAAAGGATCTTACCTAAAAATAGCAATATAGAATGTATACTGATTTTTTTACTATAGTTTCCCATCTTGTTGTTTAACCCTGAATCGGCTTGAGATCTCTTATCTTTTTATTTTCGGATTTATTTCTAGTCGTCACCTCAATACATGACATGAATGACATTTTTGGTATTTGGATGAGGATTCTTATTATATTTGTGTTTTTTTTTTAACTCATCTTTATTGTTGAATGTATTACAGGTGTTCCCCCTTTTTGTTCCCCTTGACTCCCTCTTCCCCAATCCCGCCCCCCTCCTGCCTTCGCCACACTATTGTCGGTGTCCATTGGCTATGCATATATGTATAGAAGTTCTTTGGTTTATCTCATCCATTCCTCCCTCCCCCCTTCCCTTTGAGGTTTATCAGTCTAACAACCAATTTGTACTTCTTAATTCCTTCATCTTTTAACCCATCCCCCAGTCCTCACCCATCTGGCAAGCAACAAAAAGTTCTCTATGAGTCTGTTTCTGTTCTGCTTCCTCATTTTGTTTCTAGATTCAATTGTTGATAGATATGTATTAATTGCCATTTTATTGTTCATATTTTTGTTCTTCTCCTTCAAGAAGACCCTTCAACATTTCATATAATACTGGTTTGGTGGTGATGAACTCCTTTAGCTTTTTCTTGTCTGGGAAACTCTTGATATGTCCATCAATTCTAAATGATAGCTTTGAGGGATAGAATAATCTTGGTTGTAGGTTCTTGCTTTTCATCACCTTGAATACCTCTTGCCACTCCTTTCTGGCCTACAAAGTTTCTTTTGAGAAATTGGCTGACAGTCTTATGGAAGCTCCTTTGTAGGTAATGGACTGCTTTTCTCTTGCTGCTTTTAAGATTCTCTCTTTGTCTTGAAGCTTTTGCATTCTGAGGATGATGTGTCTTGGTGTGGGTCTCTTGGGGTTCATTTTGTTTGGGACTCTCTGTGCTTCCTGGACTTGTATGTTCATTTCCTTCACCAGGTTAGGGAAGTTTTCTGTCATTATTGTTTCAAATAAGTTTTCAATTTCTTGTTCTCTCTCTTCTCCTCTGGCACCCCTATGATGTGAATGTTGGCATGCTTGAAGTTGTTCCAGAGGCTCCTTACACTATCCTCATTTGGGGGGATTCTTTTTCTTTTTGCTCTCTGGTTGGGCGTTTTCTGCTTCCGTATATTCCAAATCAATGGTTTGCTTCTTGGATTTACCTACTCTATTATTGATTCCCTGTAAATTATTCTTTATTTCAGTTAGCACATTCTTCATTTCTGACTGGTCCTTTTAATGTTGTTGATGTTTTCACTAAGTTCCTTGGAGGTCTCCTTAAGTTCATTAAAGGTCTCACTAAGTCCCTTGAATGTACATCAATGGGAGGGATTTCCTCAGGCTGATCAGCTGCAAGGGCTGGCTGTGCCCACTAGCCACTGGCATCTGACTACCTTGGAGGGTCAGTTGTGTAGGGGCTCAACACATAGAGCAAGACTTACTTCAGCAGGGCTCTGGTACCCACTGAGTCCACTCCTTGAGTGTGTTACTTGTGGAGGTGCTTGGGTTTTGGTGTTTTTGATGTGGTCTGAAGCTGTCCGCTGGGTGTGCTGGCTCTGGGGCAAGGTCAGCCATTGCTTGTGTTCTATCCGGGGCCACCCAGCATAAGCTACAAAGTGATCTGCCAATGGCTACTTCTTGTGCTGGGCTTGGAGGTGTCCAGGGAAAGCCAAGTCGTGAACCAAGGCTGAATGCTTCTAGTGCCAGGCCTGGGGCCACTTAATGAGAGGTATGGGGCTGGCTGAGGCCAGATGCTGCTTGTTTGAGAGACTTTAGGAAACTAAAGAAGGATCCAAGACAGGCCAATCCTATGGTAAAGCCTTTGGAAACGGCTTGGTTGGGCCTAAAAGTGGATAAGGCAGGGCCTCAGGGAATCACCAGGGCAGGGAAAACAGTGTGAGCTAGGTTGCTGGAGTCCCAGATATGGGGGCTGTCTGCCACCCCAGGGAAGGGCTCACCAAAGGAACATCAGCCTCCACCAGCACTCTGTCCAGGAGTAAGACTCCTCTCCAGTCCTTGTCCTGAGGCCCAACAGCTCAGTTCTTCCCTGTATGTATCTGGCGCTCCTCAAGCTGCCTCCCCTCTAAGCTCAGAGGGAGTGAGTCAGAGTAAGTCCATGCACCGGCCCTTTAAGAGGAGCTGCCTGGGGCTCCCACAGCCTCAGCCTCCCTGAGCCTCAGTTCCCGCTGGGTTTTCCAGCCAGAAGTGATGGGGATTCTCTTCCTGGTACTGAAACCCTGAGCTGGGGGCCTCGTGAGGAATGGAGACCCCTCACTTCTCAGGCAGGACCTTCCCAGCCGAAGTGTCCTCCTGATTTTTATCTGCCACATGTGGGCATGAGACCAACTCGTTCGTGCCTCCGCCCCTCCTACCAGTCTCAGTGTGGCTATTTCTTTAATTTCTTAGCTGTAGGACTTCCATTCAGCTCGATTTCAGGCGGTTCTGAATGATGGTTGTGTTGTAGTTCAGTTGTAATTTTGATGTGGTTGTGGGAGGAGGAGATATTTACCTATGCTGCCATCTTGACCGGAAGTCCTTATTATATCTGTTTTTAAAGACTAAATTTTATATAATATTTTATAAGGATTACTACCTAAAGGCCAGTCATTATCCTCAGCTTTGCTAAAATACTTTCCACATTTTTTCCCTTTCATCTTCATATACGGATGACTCTTCTTTGTATGCTTTCCACCTACCAGACTCATCCTTATGGCCCCATCACACTCCCTTTCTTACTTCTCTCCTTATCCATCTCCTACTCCTAAGCTTTCCACAACTTCTCTTTCCTTGGAAATCAAACCGCATTTATACTAATGACTGCTAAAATTCAGTCTTCCTTCAACGTACCCATTTTGGGTGAAGATATACAAACAGACTTCAACACTGTCCATCAGTAATGGAGTAGCATGGGAAATTTGGCAGAATAAAAGGAAGAAGAAAATTTGTGGAAGGAAGGGGTGTCCTTCCCAAATAGAAGTGTGGAAGGCTTCAGTTGAAAGGTCAAGATTGTGAAAGACTTTGGCCAAGCTCGTGCTCATGCTAAAGACTTTTTTTTTTAATTAATTTATTTTTGTTACAGATGTTCCTCCTTTTTTTCCCCATTGACACCCTCCTCCCCATTTCCCCCACCCCGTCCCCAGCTTTGTTGTCCATGTCCATTAGTTATGTGTACATGCATATAAGTTCTGTGGTTTATCTCTTCCCCCTCCCCACTCCCTCTTCTGAGGGTTGTCAGTCTGTACCCTACTTCCACGTCTCTGGGTCTACCCTGTTCCTCAGACTGTTATGTTCATTATATTCCACGAATAAGTGAGATCATGTGATATTTGTCTTTCTCTGCTTGGCTTGTTTCACTTAGGATAATATCTCCAGGTCCCTCCACATTGTCTCAAAGGTTAAGAGATCTTTCTTTCTTACAGCTGCATAGTACTCTATTGTGTATATGTACCACAGCTTTTTTATCCATTCGTCTACTGATGGACACTTGGGCTCTTTCCAGATCTTAGCTATTGTAAATAATGCTGCTATGAACATGGGGGTACATATATTCTTTCTGATTGGTGTTTCAGGCTTCTTAGGGTATATTCCTAAAAGTGGGATCACTGGGTCAAATGGAAGTTCAATTTTTAATTATTTGAGATAACACCATAGTGTTTTCCATAGCGGCTGCACCAGTCTGCACGCCCACCAGCAGTGTACTAGAGTCCCCTTTTCTCCACACCCTCGCCAACACTTGTTGTTTGATGATTTGTTGATGGCGGCCATTCTGACAGGTGTGAGATAATACCTTGTCGTTTTAATTTGCGTCTCTCTGATGATTAGTGATGTTGAGCATTTCTTCATATGTCTCTTGGCCATTTGTATGTCCTATTTGGAGAGGTGTCTATTTACCATACTGAAGACTTTTTAGAATGCCGGTAACTTATGCAAACCACGTTCCCATAGCTCAGATTTACAGGACATGGCAGGACAATCCACGGTGACCCTTACTTCCACCGAATCAGGTGGTGGACCCACAGCTTTCTTTTTTATCAAGCTCTAAGTTTCGCCCAAAGGCAAAGAGTCAAGGATCCATTTTTAACAGCCCAGGGTGTGGTCACAACATGGTCCCCAGTGACACAGGTACTTATTGTCACAGCCCTACAGTCTAGCAACCTCAGGGGTTAAATGCAAGGTAGGAACCTCTGTATATTCCCACCATGATGAAACAGAAAAGAACTAATTTTGAATGATTAGAGTTGTATTTCTACAACATAGGGTGTTTTTCTCCTCTAACTGTCCTCACCTCAGGTCAAGGGTACTAACATCCCAGAAAGTCCTTCCTGCTGCTGAGGGGCCAATAACAAGAGACTCTACATTAGAAATAATTAAGCCTTTGCATACTGATGCATCCAAGAATGTGTCGGATGAGTAATTTAGATGAATAAATTGATTCTACCAGTTTGTGAAAAGTTTAATCCAAATATATGTTTATATAAAATAAATTACTTAAAGCAAAAATTAAAATAAAAGAGAGGATAAAGAAATGTTAGGAAACTACTAAACAGAACACTGATGATTTTTTATTGTTGGTTCTTTGTCATAGATAGTGATGTTGTTGGCTAATGAGGGTTCTCCGTAGATCTCCTTAAGGGGGTGAGCTACCTCTAGACTGCATGTTCCCAGGAGGACTGTGCAGAATGACCATAGATGAGTGGCCCTGCCGACCTGATGGATGAGGCAGGGACAGGCAGCAAGTGTGGGGAGCAGTGGTGGAAGGGAGCTAAGTGTCACTCACATTCTTAACTAAAGATTAACCAAGATTAAGCCTTTCTGTTTAATTTGCTTTTATTTAAATAAAGTATCCAATTATTCAAAAGATAAAAATCAATGCAAAAATTTCTTTGGGTGAGGATTAACCAAAGAAAATGGGTGGGTTCTGAAAACATGTATGCAATCATACACACACACACACACACAATACTCCATGATATATAAATATGTTGTATGTACTTTATTTATTTATAAAATATAATTGTATGAATAAAATTTATTAATTATATATGTGTTTATATATAATATAGAAATATTTATTAGATAAATATATATTATATTTAAGTAAATATATTAGTTATAAATAAAATATATATTACATAAATATATTGTATGAAATGTTTATATACATAAATAAATATCTAAAATACAAATATATATTATACAAATAAATTCATATACATATATATATTGTATGCAATATATAGATTGTAGATACATACATACATATGAAACTCCAACATGTTTCTGACCATGTAGATAGCCACATGCATGTCCAGGGAAGTGCACATTCCCAGGCCTGTGCACACGCAGGAAAGGCCTAAGAAAGCCCTGAGCTCTCACCTGGCCAAGCCTTGAGGCTGTGCACGCAGAAAGTGGGAGCTAAGGTGGAACTGTAAACTGCCCAGCCGTATGTTGACGGCATGCGTTAACACTTGCATAGAGCCCCATTGACAAAGGCGAGGAGAGCTATTAGTTCTCGGTATTTAAGGAAATTTCTGTCTAATCATTAGCTGACTAACTGAGCAGAGTCTTCACAGGAGGGTCAGACTATTCTTTGAAGCTTTGAAAAGAGACACTGACTTCTCTTCTCGAGCTACGAACGTCCTGCATTGGTATCTTTCAAGATAGGGCTATTTCTTCTACAGTGAAAATGTGTTGCTTAGTGTAGCCATCTTCATTAGTTACCTTAGCTAGATCTTCTGGATAACTTCCTGCAGCTGCTACATTAACACTGCTGCTTCCTCTTGCACTTTTTTTATGGAGAGGCTTCTTGCCTTAAACCTCAGGAACCAAACTCGGCTAGCTTTCAAGGCACGCCTCTGAATTCAGGATGTACACTTTGCTGGTGATGTCTGAGCTCAGACGTTCCTTGGTCTCTTTGACCCTCCCTCTTATTTGCTGTCAGCTTCTGCCTGATTTCAGCTGCTTTTTACATATGAGAGAACCACAGTTGACTATGTAAAAGCATACTGTAAATAATTGGTGCTGTGTAAAGTAGGTTTTTTGTTGCTATTATTGCTTCAGTGTGGTGACAACCAAGATGGTGTGTTGGTAACTGGAGATGTAGCCCCACAAAAGTTGAATGAAGACAAAAATAAAATACTTGCATGTTACTGACATATAAAGCTTGCAAATCTCTATTTATAATTCTAAATAATTATTGTGCTTTATGTTCAAAGGAAGAAAGAGAAGACGCAAAGGTAAACTGAACAGTATCCAAAGAGGTAAGAATAAATGTGAGGATTCACACCTGTGAGGTTAATGCAGACCCTTTCTTTGCCGCAGCCCCCAAATTTCTGTGGGCTTCATAGCTAATGGATTATCTAGAGTACAGACTGCATTGTTGTAACAGAGACCCCAAAATACAGTAGCTTAAATCACATAATTTGTTTCTCTTTCATCAAACAGTCCAGAAGTGGTAGAAAGAACCTACCCATTTCTTCTGAGTATTTCTGTCACCGTGTATATATATATAAACATTTGCATAGATATTTATATCTATATTTATATCTATGCATAATATTCATATATATGTATATATATGAATAAGGTGCTCTCTCCTCACTCAAGGCAAGTGAGAAGGCTTCAGCCTCAAACTAATTGATTTATGGCTCCAAGAATTTGAAGGTGACTGAGAAATTTAAAAACTCAAACCTGGAAAGTCTAGAGAGGATGTTGGGAGCCAGTTACTTGCTCACTGATAATAAGACCATAAAGAGCCATGATTCTCATGGGCCTCGCTGGGGAAGGGAGGAGCTTTCATATATATATATAATGAATATAAACATTTAAATATAACACAAATATATGCATATACTTCTATGATCTCTATCATTTTATCTCCATGCTTATCTTTATCATTTTGGTTACTTCCCAGGTTATACTTACTCAGGTCAAAGATTTTTCTTCTGAGTTTTTGTGAAACCTCTTTATTTTACCTGCTTTGTTAAAATAATTGGAAATGGCCCTGGCCGGTTTGGCTCAGTGGTTAGAGCATCATCCTGCGGTCCAGAGAGACCTGGGTTCGGTTCCCGCTAAGGGCACGTACCTCGGTTGCAGTTTATCCCCGACTCTGATTGGGTTGTGCAGGTGGCAGCCACTCGATGTGTCCCTTTCACGTTGATGTCTCTCTCTCTCTCTCTCTCTCTCTCTCTCTCTCTCTCTCTCTCTCTCTCCCCCCTCCCTCCCTCCCACTCTATCTGAACAAAATATGGAAAAATGTCCTCAGGTGAGGATTTAAAAAATAATAAAAATAATAAAAATAAAAGGAGTTAGAACCTGGGCACTGGATCTAGGCTACTTGGGTTCCAGTTCCAGCTTTAAAAATAATAAAATAAAATGAGCCCTGGCCGGTTTGGCTCAGCGGTTAGAGCGTCGGCCTGCGGTCCAGAGAGACCCGGGTTCGGTTCCCGCTAAGGGCATGTACCTCGGTTGCAGTTTGTCCCAGCTCTTGTTGGTCGTGCGAGTGGCAGCCCCTCAATGTGTCCCTTTCACGTCGATGTTTCTCTCTTTCTCTTCCTCTCTCTCCCTCCCACTCTGTCTGAACAAAAAATGGAAAAACATCCTCTGGTGAAGATAAATAAAAAATAAAATAAATAAAAAATAAATAAAATGAAATAAAATAATTGGAAATGGTAGTCTAATCACAAATTACATTTGCCTTTTCTCCTGTTTCCTTTTGAAACATATTGTCTCAAATAGTCCTTTTCTGCCCCAGGCTGATGTCTTAAATAAACCCCAGAACTGTGCTAGTCCCTGTCAGCAGCATTACATATTCTCATTCAATAGTAAACACCCTGAGCTGCTATATTAAAACTGGAAAATATGTAGTGAGGAAGTTGGATGAGGCCAACCTCTTCTCTCATCCACATTTCTTCTCTAATTCCAATCAATATCTGTTGCTTTTAGCTAAGTCGAGTTTAGGCAGGGAGGAGAGAAGGAAGTAGTAAGGAGCAGAAATGGGCCTCTTAGGATATATCCTTTATGTCTCCCAGATATGGTGGATGCACGAGCCATATTTGAGGGTTCTTCAGAGACTTCCTCTTCAGAGATAATTTCTCATCTGCAGTTCTCCTTATGCAAGAACTCCAGCTGCCTGCTCACCACTTCCCTCCTCGTCTCCCAGTTCTGAGGAGGCTCACGCCTCATTCATCTAAATGGTTCTCCTAGAAAGAGTATCTCTTAGGAGGACTAACTGAACTCCTCCCTTCCCCAGAGAGACCCATGAGAACCGTGCCTCTTTATGGCCCTGCTGTCAGTGAACGAGTAGCTGGCTCCCAACATCCTCTCTAGACATTCTAGGCTTAAGTTTTTAAATTTCTCTTCCACCTTCAAATTCCTGGAGACATAAATCAATTACTTTGAGGCTGAAGCCTTCTCACTTGCCTTGATGATGAGAGAGCACCTTACTCAACTTCTATAGGAAGTCTGTGGTGTCGATTGTTTTTGAACAGCGAACCCAAGTACAGCCACTCTACTTCTGCGGGGTAATTAAGCAAGAAAATTCACAAAGAACAATTTTAAATAAAAGTCCAGTGGTTCTATATTATCAGTAGTTCTGACACTCCGAATCTGCCAGGAAGGAGAGCTCTGGGAAGCTGAACTAAACTATTTTTATACCTTTAATTTATATGGCCTCAACAGTTTTGATGGAAGGCAAACTCAACAGTACCAGAGAAAGACACAGAGGGACACATAGCAAATGTGTTTGTCGGAGATGTCTATTGCTGAGTAAGCTCAAATTGTAGTCCCACCATAGATAGAACGAGAGAGAGAGAGAGAGAAGGAAGGAAGGAAGGAAGGAAGGAAGGAAGGAAGGAAGGAAGGAAGGAAGGAAGGAAGGAAGGAAGATCACTTCATGGTTCTGCCTTGGAGAGTACTATGTATGAACATGGCACTTAGGAGGTCTACCTGCACACCAAATCACCTGCTGAGTCTGAGAACATGTTCACCTAAGAGTTTCAATCAATTCTTCTTCAATATGTTTACCCCTAAGACTTTCTAGGGCTTGAAATCCTTTTTTTTTCAACTGAGGAATATTTTCTTTATTTGTACATTTTTTAATCCTTTGAATTTCTTTGAACAAATTCTCCTTGGGTAATATTCTCTTGGTTAGTTTCTCTTATCTTAATTTTTTGTCCAAACCCATGTGGTCACTTTTACTATATTTTCAGCCCAAAGTCCTTTATTCCAGGCTAAGACAATGGTTAGTGTTTCATCTAGGCAGCTTACCATCATGCATCTCTAGACAATCCAAATTCTTGCATTGCTGCTATTTTTTTTTCTTTATTGATTTTAGAGAGAGAGGAAGGGAAAGGGAGAGAGAGATAGAAACATCGATGAGAGAGAACATAGATTAGCTGCCTCCTGCATGCCCCCTACTGGGGATCAGGCCCACAACCTGGGCATGTGCCCTGACTGGGAATTGAAGCGGTGACCTCTTGGTTCATGGATCAATGTTCAACCACTGAGCCACACCGGCCGGGCCTTGCATTGCTGCTATTGATTTCTACCTTTCAATCAAAGGAAATCACTACACTTAAATATTTTAATTTCAGGATGTTTCAGTTTCTTTATTGGTGATGGGGATAGTAAAAGTCTCTAAGTGTTTTATATTCATGTCTAGCACATAATAAGCACATATCAACTGTTAGTTCTCACAGTGTTCCCTAAACTACAAATGAAACTCTGTCTTAAATTTCTTTTTTAATTAATGTGGGTATAAATAAATTAGGATTAATGTGAGGATAAAGAAAATGAAATCTAAGGTGAACCTAGGTTAAACATTTAGGGCTTGATAGGTATAAGGCTATGGGTTATATATTTTTCTTTATGCCGTAGGCTCTTGGAAAGTTACAATAAAATGGAATTTTTTTAATACACTATTATATACAATGCAACTTTTCACAGTATCTTTTGTTTTTTTGTTTTCAGTGAGAGGCAGAGGCAGATATAAAACCCAAGCTCTGAGAAAAAGAGTTCCATGGAAAAGAAGAAAACTAACAGGTAAATTATTATTATTATTATTATTATTATTTTATTAAATGTCTAAATTTTTATGCTTTATTCTTTGCTTTTAGTAACAAACTTATTCCTCTAATCACTTTATGTGACTTACTAACTGTACAGAAATAGACTTAGGCAATTCCAAAATGCTCAGGGATTGAAAGATGATAACACTACAAATGAGTAACTTGGTCATAAATCTACAACCAGAACCCAGGGCCCGGGGACACTGCAGGGTTGCCTCTGCTGACCTGATAACGTTCAGGCTGGAAATGCAGCTGACCCTTGAACAACACACGTTTGAACTGCACCTGTCCATGTAGACACTGATTTTTTTCAGGTTTCACATCCAGGGATTCAACCAAATGCAGATCAAAAACAATTTTTGCATTCCCAATCACGGATTCCCAACAGCAGATGGAAAATGCAGTTTTCTATTCGCCATTGGTTGTATCTGAGTGTGTGAAGGGCCAACTCTAGAGTCAAAAGTTGTACCCGGATTTTCAGTTGGGTGGAAGTAGCCATGAAACACTGAAACTCACATAGCTGATGTTCCCCATGTCCCGCCACTCTGAGGTAATCGTGTAGACGTAGGTCTGTTGCTTCCCTTCTTCTGCCCCAGTTTACTCATCTGTAAGGTAAAATAAAATTAGATAATAAAGAATAATAAATGGTAATACTATAATAAATAGACTGACTGCCCTCCAAGGCTCATCCCCGCTTCACAGTCAGCTCCAACATCCTGTGGATCTCCCTCTGCACCATGGACGGCTCCCTCTTCTGCACTGTGAACAGGGAGCCCAGGAGGCGACTTCAGTGGATTCCCCTAATCTCCAGTGCTGGTTAGAAGGGCAGGAACAGCAGCTCATCATTCTGAAGTTCATTTTAAGACTTTTACATCTGTTTCTATGGAGTCAGATTCTCAGTTCTTCGCCGCACCCCACCCTCACCTTGGAAAGGTTCTAAGAGGCAAAGCCTCGTCCCTTTGCCATTTGCACATGACTTTAGCACTCCACCGAGCTTCCCTTTCAACCAGAAGAAAGCTGGTGTGAAGGAGCAATAAGGGAGGTAGATCAGACAGACACTATTTCCTGTTAGGCTGCCTCATCGTGATTCTACTTCCCACCCAGCCAGTCCCTGGCTCAAATCTACAGACAGATATGTGAAATTATAGACAAATTACAGTCCGAAACTCTTTTTTTCTGGTCGAAAAACAGGAAGGGGGAGGAAATGTAGCTAGAAATTTGTTACTAGTGTAGCAGACTCAATATATGTTCCTATCTCTCAGAAGCTGAATGGTGGCCAACTTTCTTGGGCATTAAGCTATCAGACAGTCCTTCTGGAAGGTCTGCACCTCGCTGCAGTTACCTCATCACTCCAGGTGGTTCTCTTGGGCAGAGTATCTTTCAGGAACACCCAGTTCAGGTCCCATCCACAGGGCCCCCACAGGCCATGGAAATCATGTTTCTTCGTTGATTCCCATACTGGCTCCCAGCTCAGCCTGTCTCCCTCTGCAGCATGTGCTAGCTATGACCTTCACCTCTATATTTCTTAGGGATGAGTCTAATAGTCTCTTCTTCTTTGACATCCCCAAGGACAGCGGTCCTTCTGTGTGAGTCTTTTAACACCTCTTGGATTAAGTAGAGGTGCCTGACAATTCTCTCCAAAGAAGTGTAGCTTCTCTCACTAGACCTGATGATAGGGAATGCTTATGTTGGCAGAACCAGCCTCACTATCCCCTCCCATGTTCTGTGCATCAGAGGTAGACTAGCATCTTGCTTTAAGATATAGATGTACTAGGCTCCTCCTATTGTCTTGTTCTTGGATGTTGATGCTTCTGCTATTCTTTTTTTTTTTTTTTATCCTCACCCGAGGACATTTTTCCATTTTTTGTACAGACAGAGTGGGAGGGAGAGAGAAGAAGAGAGACAGAGGGAAACATCAATGTGAAAGGGACACATCGAGTGGCTGCCACCCGCACGACCAACCAGGGCCGGGGACAAACTGCAACCGAGGTACATGCCCTTAGCGGGAACCGAACCCGGGTCTCTCCGGACCGCAGGCAGACGCTCTAACCGCTGAGCCAAACCGGCCAGGGCGATGCTTCTGCTATTCTGAGGGGAGCAAAAAGTCACCTAAATACCCTGATATACTTTTTTTGCCCATAATGATTAGTCTCAACTATTCAGAAAATTATTTTTAAATTGGTTTTAATTTTTCTGATCACATTATTATTTATAAGGGTTAATTTGGTATGTTAGTATTATTAAGACAGTAGAGCCAAGAACAGGTAAATCCTACTTTATCCAGATATCTTATTTCCTGGGTGTGAGATAATGACAAGGTGCTGGAACATGCTAACACACAAAGAACCACTGCAAAGCAAAACTCATCAGCACTTCGACATATATGATTTGGTGTTCCGCCCAAATGTCTTCATGCTGAGCTAGAGAACACTGAGCTCCTGTTTGTTTGCCCTGAAGTCGTCTGAAAACCTGAAGATTTTAATGAAAGGGGAGTCTAGCTCACCCACTAAACCCAGGAGGATTTAAACAGATAGAAACTAAGAGCAAGAGAATGTATGTTTGCCGATAATAGCTACTGATGAACAGACTCGGGTTATTGTCAGGGGTATGCTTCAATCTTATGAGACATCTTTTTGTCAGCCTTTTGTGTTATTTTTACTCCTATGCATTTTAGAACTTTGGCATCAATTTCTATTATTTCCCCTTCATTTGGGTTAGTTTGGAAGTTCTTGCTTATTTTTGCCACCATTCTTAGTGCAAAAAATGTACTTGCAAGCTTAGGTTTGTGGCAGCTATCTGATTGGTAGAGTCCACCATGAGGTCTACCCTTGAGACCATATATTTCTGTCTTTTATCTCTGTGTCTTTATCAAAGGACATTTCTAACACTCTATTTAATTTGCATTTTTTATTTTTTACATGGTTGTCTCCTCATGTATTGAATGAAGATAGTGTTAGTTCCTATTTGATAAATTTATTCCAAAGAAATAAGTTAGTAGAGCCAAGGTCTAAGAATGGTTCCTAGCACGTAACAGGCAATCAACAGATGTCCAGTTTCATTTTCTTCTCACCTTGGTGTTGGGAAAGATATAAAACACTGTTTCAAACGTACTTGGAATAATTTGGAGATGTTAGTAAAAGAAATGTAGGATAAATCTCAGTTAAGTATCATTTTTGTAACTAAATCTAGACCTTGGTTCAGCAAACTATGGCCTACGGAGCAAATCCAGCCCACTGACTGTTTTATAAAGTTTTATTGGAACACAGCCACCTCTTTGTATTTGTGTGGTACCTGTAAAGGCTTTGACAATACAACGGCATGGCTGAGTCATCACAGCAGAGGTCATGGACCTTAAATAGCTACCATCTGGTCCTTTACAGAAAAAAGTTTGTAGCTCCTGATCTAGGCACTTGATATTGCTATTGAAGTGCTAGGCAGGCTCCAGAGGAGTTTTCATTTGAACGGTGCTTTTCTGCAACACTACTATTTGCAATGCAATTTTATGAACAGAAGACATTTATGTTATTTTCTTTACCCCTTAGGGATGAAAGCCGTCAGTACCGGGCCTTCAAAAAGAAGCAGAAAAAGAGGTGAAAAGAAGTGATTGATACACTTTTAGTAATTAAGCATCTAAATTTTTATTTTATACTCTGTTCTCTGAGTGGCCAATCAATTTCTTAATTGGCTCATAGAGCCAGTAACGAACGTTAGGGTAGTCATCAGCCTTGGTCGTTTTCAATGCGACAGGATGCTGATAACACCCACTTTATTGATGTTAATCCATTGATCTGTGAGAGCACAGGCCTCCGTGGGCCTCTCCCAGGCTCCCTTAACTGCACTGACAGCTTCTGAGGAGGAAAATATAAAGTGTGTGACTAACGTGCTTTTTAGTTGACCACATAGCCACCAGTCACCATGGGTGGTAATACAAGATTTGTGTCCTAATTCCTAACATTCTTTTGATTGTGTGACTTTTACTTGTCATTTCTTCTTTTTGCCTCAATTTCGTCCTCTGTAAATGGGTAAGTGGCAGATGAATTCGATTGAGTGGCCTCCCAGGCTCACCCCAGTGCTAATAGAAGTCACTCTGAAAGGCCCCTCCCAGACAGAAGTCCCAGTGTGGTTGCCCCTCTGTGTTGGCCGAAAGGACGGGAGCAGGTGCTGCTGCTACTGAAGTTCATTTTTTAATTTTTTGTAATCCTCACCTGAGGATATTTCTCCATTTATCTTCAGATAGAGTGGGAGGGAGGGAGAAAGAGAGGGAAACATCAATGTAAGAAAGACACATCGATTGGCTGCCTCCCACATGACCCCTACCAGGCCAGGGACCAAATTGCAACCGAGGTACATTCCCTTGACTGGAATCGAACCTGCGACTCTGTGGTCCGTGGGCCAACACTCTAACCACTGAGAAACCCAGCCAGAGCCTGAAGTTTATTTTATGACTTTCAACACCCGCTGCAACAGAAGGAGAGCCCGGTGCCCCACCCCAAGGATGTACAGAGGCCCTCTTCCTGAAAACTCTGAAGTTTCTTCTCAATCACCTGCTCTGGGCCTCACAGGGGGAAGCCACAGGGAGAGGCCCATGACGGAGAAGTGCAACAGGGCAGAGAGCAAGGAGGGAAGGCAGCCACTGCTCCTGCTAGGTCCCCTTGTCATCCTGCTCTCTGCTCCCCGACAGGTGCCTCAGATGGGGAAACAAACTAAAAGCTGAGGGGTTTTTCTTCATTCACATTAAGCAATAATATGGCCAGAAATCTCCCTCAGAGATAGAGGGGAAATCATTGCACCATAGGTGGTCGTGGCCAGCAAGCTTGGGAGCTCAGGTCCTTCACATGAGTCTCCTTTGCAGGATTTCAGAGAACGGGAATGGAGGATGACAGTATCTTTGTGTGTCTAACCTGCCATAAAAGAAAGACCTAGTTCATGAGGACACTCCCTCCATTATATTTTACGTTATAAAAGAAGGGTCTCAAGATGGGTAAGGGGAAAAAGGGCACAGCTGTAGAAAGATGGAATAAAAATAATAATAATGCTTCCTTGCAGTTCCAAGAATTCCCAGAGATACAACTATCGATTTTCGACTTCCTATACTTCGCGTGACCTGTGGTCAGGCAGAGGGGATGTTATATAAGGAGAAAATGAAACAAGGTGAGTTTCCTGGTCTATGCTTTTCAACTGGAAACCACCCATGTGGATATTATATTGTTCAGGGGCTGGACACCCGTGTCGGGGTGTCCTGTGATTCACTAAGAGGACTCACAGGACTCAGCATATTGTCAAATTCGTTGCTGTGATTTATTAAATTGATACAGAGAAAAATCAGAAAGGAAAAAGGCTCAAGGGATGAAGTCCACAGGAAACCAGGTGCCAGTTTCCAAGGGTCCTCTGCCAGTGGAGTCACACAGGACACACGATTCCCCAGCAACAAATTAGGACAACACGTGTGCGGTGTTGTCTATCAGGAAAGCTGCCTAAGCCTAGGAGTCCCGGGGGTTTTTATCAAGACGTAGCCACACTGGCACACTTTACCTCACACCTGCCAAAATTCCAGACTCCCAGAAGGAAAGCAGGTGTTCAGCATAAGCCATATGGGAACAGTGGGACCTCTCCCAAAATCTAGGTTCTCAGATGCCAGCCAAGAGCCAGCCTTGGAAGCAGACATTTCTAAAGACAGCTGTCTCAGGTCTGCTCCGTTAGGTCTTCTCTGCACAGCATCCCAGATACACTGGAGGAAAGATGGCATTTCTATACTTTTAAAGTTCACAAACATTAGCCTACCAGGCCACCCCCTTTCCCCCCATGGAAAAGGTCCCTATGACACCCATCCAGCATCCAATCCAAGAACAAGTGCTTCAATATCAGGGCAGAAATGTACACACACTGGAGAAATCCAACAGCAACTTCACAGACGCCTTCCCTCTACCACCTTGTGCTAACTGGAAGGAACACAGGATTTAGAATCAGGACACCTGGCTTCAGGTTTCAGCTCTACCAAGTCTCTGTTTCATCTGGACCAAGCCATTCTTCTCTCTCGCCCTAACTTCCTCCTCCACAAAATGGGGATAATAGTAAAACTTGCCTCACCGTATTATTATGAGAAAAAAAATAGAATAACAGATATAAAATAATTTGCAAATTATCATTGTAAAAGCACAGCACAAATGTTCAGCTGCCATGATTGATCCCTCCTCCCAAAACAGAGTCCTTTAGGCACAGCAGTATAAATGTGTGCCCTGTGACTGTATTGCACATGGTCACTAACTTTTCCTGCTACAGAACATTTCCATAATTACTTTCCACATAAAGTAGCCATGAGTCCAGAATATGAGAAATAATTGTTTGCCATGAGCTGGATGGTCAGCATTATACAAGCTGAGACAGATGTGGCAGGGGTCACAGCTGCCACACTGCCACCTGTGTGTCCTCATCTGCCCCTTCTGAATTCAGCCCGGCTGGATCCTGAGTCTCAGAGAAGGAAAGGGAAAGAATCCTGATCTTTTCTTTTTTTTTTAGACATGCATTTTTTTTCTCTTTTGAATATAGTTAAATGCTTCTTAAAAGTAAATGTTGATAATAAGGATTGCCCTTTTCACTGCATGATCAAAGTGTGAGCATAGCAGGAATTCCCTGTCTACCCTCAGCCTTCTGGTTGCGGTGGGGCCCCTGTGAGGGAACTCAGCTCTCCCGTGTTGCTGATTCTAAGTCCAAAATGGGTGGCCCAGAACCACGTGGTGGGAGGCCAAGTTCTGGGGTTTTCACAGTTGGGGTCACTCCCTGCCAACAAAGGGAGCTCAGCCTGTCTTGCTGGGTCTCACAGGAATCTCGGCAAAGTGTATAAAGATGAAGGATGGAAAGAAGCTCACCCTCAAGGAATTTGAAATTGAAGGAAATCACGAAAAATCCAAGAATTGGAAGCTGAGTGTGCGCTGTGGCGGATGGCCCCTGAAACACCTGATTCAGGTATTCTAATGACAAAGGGCTGAAATCCAGGATGGAGTGTCACAATTCACCAACTCTCAGACTAGCAGTGTTCAGAAAACCATCATGACCTCCCTTGCTCAGGTCACAATGCATGTTATTACTAACATTCCACTCCGGCGTTATCTTGGCCGGCCTTTATCACAGCATCACCTCTAAGTGCAGAAACTCTTCCCCCTTTGAAGGTAGACATTAAATTGCAGCCTTGACTCTGACACTAGTAATTGCCACTGTGTACTTTGGTCACAGGAAACTAATTTAAATTGGGAGCAGAGGGGGCAGAAGAGGTGGTCTTAGGCTTTTGGGGCCAATGTTTAAAACAGCATAGCATTGGCCCTGGCCAGATAGCTCATCTGGTTAGAGCATCCTCCCGATACATCAAGGTTGTGGGTTCGATCCCTGATCAAGGCACATACAAGAATCAGCCAATGAATGCATAAATAAGTAGAGCAAAAAATCGATGCTTCTCTCTCTCGCTCGCTCAAAATCAATTTAAAAAATTAAAAATAAAGTAGTATAGCCCTGGCCAATTAGCTCAACAGTTAGAGTGTAAGCCCACAGACCAAAGAGTCTCAGGTTTGATTTCGGTCAAGGGCACGTACCTTGGTTTCAGTTCAATACCCAGCCCTGGCTGGGTTCATTTGGTAGGCAGCCAATTGAAGTGTCTCTCTCATATCAATGTTTCTCTCTCTCTCTCTCTCCCCCCAGCTTTATCTGGAGATAATTGTAAAAAAAAAAAAATATATATATATATATATATACACACACATACACACTCAGGTGAGGATTTGAAAAATAAATAAATAAAAAGTAGCATAGTAGATGTGTCTAAAAATAATACACTGGCCTGGCTGGTTTTCTCAGTGGTTAGAGCAGCAGCCCGCAGACCAAAGAATTGAGAGTTCGATTCCAGCCAAGAGCACATACCTCAGTTGCAGTTCATCCCCGGCCCTGGTCAGGGTCATGTGAAAGGCAACCAATAGATATGTCCCTCTCACATCAATGTTTCTCTCTCTCTCTCTTCCCCTCCCACTCTATCTGAAGATATTTGAGAAAAAGTATCCTCAATTGAGGATTGAAGAAAAATAATACAACAGTATGGGTGTTTCCTGGCTTATAGAATATTTCATCATTATTTTTATAGCCATCTGAAATTCATTCTTGAAAGAGAATATAAATAAATTGCATTTTAAAATATCTCCTTTGGCCCTGGCTGGTTTGGCTCAGCAGTTAGAGCATCGGCCTGAGGTCCAGAGAGACCCTGGTTCAGTTCCCGCTAAGGGCATGTACCTTGGTTGCAGTTTGTCCCCGGCCCTGGTTGGGTCATGCAGGTGGCAACCACTCGATGTGTCCGTTTCACGTCGATGTTTCTCTCTCTTTCTCTCTCCCTCCCACTCTATCTGAACAAAAAATGGGAAAATGTCCTTGGGTGAGGATTAAAAAAAAAAAAATCAATAAACTATCTCCTTTGGCCCTCATATCAGCCCCCTGCACAAAGCGGGCCTGGTCTCTGAAGCACATGAGCCTGTGCCTTCTGACTCTTTCTGCCACTCACCCCAGATGGCCCTCCCTGGCTCCGTTCTAATGATGATGCAATGCCCTTTGCTCAGCAGTACCTATTGAGATACATCTAAAGCCACAGGGACGGTAAGGTGCAAGCCCCATTCCCTAACCAGGAGGAAGGGTGCACATTCATAACCACAGGACCTCTCCTCAAGAGGCACCGGCAGGAAGCCATGCGAGGTCTCTAGGGACAGGAGGTCCTTTCTGATTTTGAAGTTGAGGACAGTTCCAAGGAACAGTTTGCACTGAGCTGGGTCTTAAGGGAAGAATAGTTCTGACAAAAAGCTTTTTACATAAAAAGGATGGCATGAAAATCCTCCCCATGATTTATCAAGAAGTTGTGGGTAATGGGGTTCAATACATGGGCTGGGATGATTGTGCAGGTCTTGAGGCCAGAAGAAGGAGGATGAACCCTTTCTCTGGATTAGGATGTAAACACCTTTGGGGGCCATTATTCAGCCTACCATATTCCCCCACCTCTGGAATCCAAACCACTCTGTGAGAGCACAGTTTACACTCTACTTTCCTTACCTATTACATGCCGGCTTCTCCCCCTTGTCTCCCCAAAGGCTTGGGATACCTTTGTGTGCCCAAGGTCACTGGTGGAACCTGACATCTAATCTCACCAGGTGTGAGCCAATGGATTAGCTGAAGTCTGTGAGGTATGAAGACACAATCTAGAGGGGCACTGAGGGAAATGAAAAGGAAGTGGTGGGTATAGAAGAGATTGTAGAGGAAAACTTAGAAAGGCTTTATAAAAAGAGCAAAAGATAGGGTGCAGTTTTCAAAGCTGAGTCTGGATAACAGAGGCAGCATGTTACAGAGCTGGAGAGGGAAGTTATTTTCCATGAACACATCTTGAATGTGCATTGTTGACAATGGGACATACCTGAGAGGCAGTTGGAAACACCAAGCTCAAAACAGTCAAAGAAGTACAAAAGTACATCGTGGACACCAAGACCTCTCGTAGCATTAATGTCATTGCCGTTTCAGAAGGGATTTCTACCAGACCCGCCAAGAACAAGAGGAAGGTTGATTATCACATGACTTTCTTCCAATGCCTCATCTATCGTATTGTTGACTTTCCGTTTCTCTGGCCTTATTCTAGTTTCTAAAAACACTAATTCTAATAAAACGTGACTTTATAATATGATGTTTTTCACTTGCTGCTCTCAAACATTACAGTGTCTGAGTCCAGGACTCCTTTGTGCATTAAAACATTCGAGGTGAAAATAATCTTTTAAAACAGATAATGAGGAAAAGGTCATTCGGACTCAGGCACTTGAAAGAAAGAAGACATAGTCTACAGTCAGACAAGCAGGCAGAGGGCAGAAGGCACCCCAGAGAAAGAACGGTGTGAACACCAGGACCACAACTAATGTGGCTCCATGGGTTGAAGTAGATGGATTGCATGGGATAGGATGGCATAATCCATCAATTGGGGTTGTTTGTGAAAGGATTTAATGCCAGGCTAATGAGTTTAAACTCACAGCATAGATAAAGCAGAACCAGGGAGTCTCCTGAAGTATGAAATGACATACTTAAAACAGCATCTCAGACAACATGGGGCCTGGAAATGACTTCACTGTCTTTCTACCCAAGAAACCTTTAGTCAACCCCCACGTTCAGCTCCTATGTCACCCTCTCTGAATATTCCCTGACTGACCTGCCTCGTCATCCCTTCCCTGGGCCCCCGGACCTCATTATTAAGTCCCTTCTCACAGTGGTTTATACTTATCCTTCCATGTGACCCCTTGTGTTCTCTAGACCTCTCTAAGGTTTGCACATCTTTCTGTGCCCAACATTGTCCAGAGTGTCTGACCCCCTGTAGGTGTGGGATACATGTGTTGTTTCAGTAGTCCTGGTGTAAGGACATAAGTTTGAGTGGCACTTGTGGGAACAGAAAGGAGGTGGGAGGTGTCAAAGAGATTGTGAAGGAAAACCTCTTAAAACTTAGGGGGGAAAGCAGAACAAGGAAAAAGGTTCTAAAGGTGATTTTCTGGGCAGCACTGATGAATTCTCGAGTAAGTACAGGTGAGGGGAGGGAGACCTCACCGTGATTTGAGCTGACAGTGGGACATCAAGTAGAAATATTTGGAAGGAGGTTGGAATGCCAGACTCACAAACCAGAAGTGCAGGCTAACCATATACATGGATCTTCTTATTTTTCAGAATGGACATCTATGTAATCCTCCAAGAATATATGGAAGGAGAAAAAAGGTAATGATTATATAACTTTCTACAAGTTTTCACCGCATAACTGATTTTACATATGTAGTATGTTCTTTGATGGTTTCTCAGTTGGATAATTATAATTATCAATTTTTTTGCATGTACCTTCAGAGTTACTACTTTGAACATTATGTTTTATGCAAGGTCTTCTTTGAATAGCAACCACTTGAGATGGAGAAGATAAGGTGGTATCAAAATAGATCTCATAGATAAGTTTTAGCTATAGGTGCAGATTTTGTAAGGCTGTCAAAGTTGTAAAAGCAATCATGATTATGGAATACATAAAAGCACTTCATAAAATCACAGGGTCATCTTCATCTCAAGCCTAGATTTTTTTAAATTAGGTTACTATTTTTTAACTATTGAAATCTGATGGAACAAAAGTTTGCTCACCATCATCCATGTCTATCTTGAGACATACATGAAACCATGCACCATTTCAGGAGATAAGCAACCAAAAGCATGTTTCTTTTCTGATCCTTTATATCCTCTTTCACCTTCCAACAAAATGTGCACTGAGATACACAGAATTCTTTTTCAAGAGGGAATTATTTGCTCTTCATGGAGATAGTGCTTTTGGAGAGGAAGTTTTTGGGAGGTACATGTGTATAGGAGGGTCTGACATGGAAATTTGTTTACTTTGATGCTGTCCCTTGGCTCCAGCAGAATTGCTGGGCAGACCTCATTTCTGTCTGTGAAACTGATTTCTCCCTCTATGAAAGAATGAATGCAATGGAGGCTACAAACAAATAATAATATGCAATGTAGATTCAGGACAAAGTGATGACATTTTCAAGATTGAGTATGAATGAGAACTTAAAGTAGAAGGGGAGGAAAGAAATACCATTTTTACATACATCAGGTAGAAGTGGCCATTCACGACATTGTCGGAATCCTAAGATAGATCACACATAGCTGGCCAATGAGACTCCCATCTTTCACTGGGGACGTGAGGTCCAAGCCTTTATATTGTCTGATTATCTGAATGGCTTAAATTGTCTGTCTTTTTATTCACTGAGTTTTCTAATTAGAAACTAGTATTAGACTTGTTTAGTGAGTACTTTAAAGACCAGCATCTATATCATTCCTCAAGTGTCAAACACTAGGGTCTACTCTCATTTATGAGTCAAACACTTTTCAGCAACAAGCTGCAGCTGCCTCTATATTCTGTGTCTCCTTGATGAAGAACAGAACAAATCTCAGGACCCATAACTACCTCTGTGGTTCTCTGTCTCTCAGAACCTCTCTTGCTAATGGAGCTTCTGGAAACGTCAGCGTCACTCTCAGCACCACATGACAGCTTACTGGCTCCTGAAGAGGGCCACTAATATCTTTTGATGACAGTATTTTGTGAAATAATATACTCCTCAACAACAATCGTTTATTGCATGCTACTGTTTGCCTAGAAGTTAGCATGTAATTTCTTTTCCTAAGTAAAACACTCATTTATTCACTTGCTCAACATAAAATTGTCGAGTACGTACTAAATGCTCAATGTCCATTAAAGAAGATTCAAACAATATTCTTGACCTCAAGGATTGTTTCAACTTCATTGTCCAATATGGAAGGATAACTAATGGGTAGGGCTGGAGGAATCTAGGCCACACAAAGAGGTGGGAGTGAATGGCCACCTCTCAGGTGATTGTCCTGTAGGTCACATTTGTCTGTAACCTCTCTACCCTGGGCTGGAGATAAAGGCCAAGGCTGCCTGAATACAGAAGGGAAAAACATCAAGTCATCCCATTGAATATGCACAAGCAACATAAGTCTAGTGTGTAGTAGTCAGTTACCTCTGAAATGTCACCTCGTTGACCTCTTGGGATTTGAATGGAGAGGAGAGGAGGGTGACCTTCTGGAAGAAGAGCTGCAACACTGGGATCCTTGAGCACATGTAATCTTGGAAGCTACACCCTAGAAGAGTTCAGAAGGTGGTGGAATTCTTCTCTGGCCTCTGTGGTTGCAGGAGGCTGTTGGTGATGAGTCCTCAGCTTGATTCTTTCAGAGCAGCCATTCTGCTGAGATGACACTTCCTAATAACATGCTCCTCAAGAACAACAGTTCATTGTGTGCTAATGTGTGCATACAGAAGAGTGCCTGAGGGCCTCTCAAAGTAGGGGAACCAGAGGAGTCCCCACAATTCCACCTGTGGAAACCAGGGCCAGACTCCCTACATGACTTCACAAAGGCTCACCTTAGGTCCGAGAAACAGGGAATGCAACTAGATTGGACCAAACAGTAGTACTTTGGCACTTTTAATTCTCCTATAAATATGTATTCCATAAAAATATGTATAAAATAATGGACAGACGTTGGACTGAATCCCTTAAAAAATGGCTATTTAAATAAGTGATGGATAGAAACATCACATTCAGCATTGTCACTCAATGTTTCTTTTTAGCCGAGAGTCGTGAAGTCTCATGACAAGACCTTGTTTGACCCTTATGTAAGTACCAACTCCCACCTGTAGCCCCAGAATAATCCAGGTCTTTTCCCTTGGTACATTATCTGTGTCATTGCTGCCTTTCCCTGAAGCATGGTCACTCTCAGTTGGAACATGTCGCTGTGTGTGATGAGCAGAGAACAACAGATGCATCACCTACTCCAGGTAGATGGTTCTGAAGTTGGGTGTCTCAGCATGAAAGCATCCTTTCCATTGTTCAGTGGAAACCTTCCTGTTTCCTTAGTAGTATGGGAGGCAGAGCTCTTGATATGGGGTTTCTAGAGATGGGTCTTGAAGTGGAAATAGGTAAGGCTGGCCTGTGGATTAGGGGTAAGGAGCAAATATGAGAGGAAATCAGCAGTTTAAAGAAGGCAGAAGGGAAGGAAAGGAAAATCCCAAACATCCACTCCATGGTGCAGGAAGCTATAAGATGGTTTCATACATCAGCCAGAAGAAACAGGCCAGGCCAAGCTGGCGAGTTCAAGGTGTAGACCCTGCCATGAGTCCTGCAGAGAAATGTACTCAGGGCAAGTGCATTCTTTATGGAGTCCATGGAGCCCATCCCACCTTCATTGTCTAACATGAGAGAATAACTAATGGGGTGGGTGGTGGTTCTAGGACACCCAGAGAAGCAGGCAGTGACATCCCTACCTCTCAGGTCATTATGCTTTGGATCACACTGGGTGCTTTGTCTATGGCCACTTGTCCCTGGACTGGAGGTAAAAGCTGAGGCAGTCATTGTTCCAGACTAGAAGGAAGTCAAGTCATTCTAATGATACCCAAGGTTCAGAAACCTTGACTGAGCAGCCTAACAATAGTGGTCAGCATCCATGGGTCTCATCTGTTATGAAAAAAAAGGAAAAACAGTTACAAGGCTTCATGCCAGGGCAAGCCAGGCCCATGTGAGGATGTGCCCAAGGATGTCCCTAATGAGCCATTCCACAAGTTTTCTTCTTGAAAGGGAGATCATGGGCAAGAGACATATTGCAGCTTAAAATTTCCTCATATATGTGACTTTTGTGTCTCTTCTTCTTATATTAAATTTATAAACGAAAGGAGTTTAAAGATTAAGGTGTAGTCCAATGCACCTAAGCTCATTGGCCCCAAAGATGATATTCTGACTGTTATGGTTTGTAACTCTAGTAGAAGGCCTTTTCTTTCTAATATGATGGTATTATGATTAGGGTCTCTACACCCTCGTAGCAGCAGACCTCACAGAAGCACTAGGGATGAGATGAGATATTTAAAGATTGTGATCTGCAACACTCGTGATCGATTGGAAATCTGGACGGAGAGAAGGCAGAATCCATGTTCACTTCCAGGCTCCTGGGTGAAGGGTGGTGGGTGCTTGGTGAGATGGAGAACTAAAAGGGAACCAGATTCCAGACAGGAACATAAGGAATATGGTTGGGGACAGGGTGGATTTTAGACTCAGTGAAAAACTTCTAACTGGAGATTATGGAAATTGTGGTATGGATGTTTAGGGACTCAGAAGGAGACCAGAGACACATGTTTCAAAGTCTAGGGATAAATATGTAGGCATGGTCATGGGAGTAGTGAAAGGAACAGGAGATGTAGGACAGAGCCCCAAGGAATTCCCACATTCTAAGTAATAAACTTTAAAGAAAGAAGCAGAGTTTTTTTTTTGGGGGGGGGGGCAGGGGGTAGATTCCAAGAGAGTAGGGTGTCAGAGAACAAAGCATAGTGTTTCTAGAAGGAAGAAGTGGAGTGACACTCCCTGCCACCTCCTCAATTCCTCACCACCCACCAGTGTCTCAACCACCCATCACTGGGTGGGCCAGTCCCCAAGTCTGTGCATTATTTTGTACCAATGTTGTCACAGGAGAATATGAATTCCTCTTTCTAACCCATTATGTAGACAACTTGTTTTCATCTAGGTATAGAGTTGTTACCTACGCATTGGGTGAAACATTTCCTCCACACACAGTTCTCCTCAAACAGCCCTCTTTCTGCTCAGATGGTCCCAGAATAGGAGCCAAATACCTCTGGACATTTCTCCATCACAGACACATGACCCTCATACATAGAAATTTTAGTATGTAGGGATTTACATGTTATTGCCACATAGATTATCACCCCCCCCAAAAAAAAATGGGATTTTTCTCACCCCTCACTGGGCTCATTCCTTGACCAGTTCCTATTTTTATTTCTAATTTTTACCATTCTTACTATATATTTTTTTGATTCCACAATACTTAGATGCACACACTGTCAAATTTTTTACTTCACTTAATTAAATTAAATCTGACTGAAGATCCCACATATTAAGATTGGTGGAAATTCTAGCATCAACCAATTTTGTGGGCTCCTCCATCTTCCGTATATAAAACAAAGTGCCAGGTCATCCATGGACCCAGTGGTTGCCATTACCGTAATTCCTGCCCATTCAGAGATGGCACTTCTACGCCTTACACGCCAAACTGAGTCATGAGGCATCTTTCCCAGGCTCCCAGAGCTGAAGAGTTTGGTCTTCCCTGACATTTACCTGGTCATCTGTGTCCTTGGTCTTTGCAACCCAAAGGTACTCTCACAGGCCCGGGGGCCCTCCAGGCACAGAATCCATAGTCCAGGAATTCCTTCCCGGGACCTTCAACTCATGGGGAACTTGTGGTTGAGAAAATGGGGTGCAGTGATATCTCAGTAAATCATTCTTTGGTGAGTTCATTTAGGTGATACAACATAGACAATCAGATAAGACATTGTATTTCTGAGCCAGATTTTTCCAGCAGAATAATAAATTTCTCAGATTATCTTTAGTTCATCCTTTTTGTTGCTAGCCAAATCTTGGTCTTCATAAGGAAAACTTTCCTGATCTAATACAGCCACTTCCTCCTGAGCTGCACTGCAGACCAGAATGTCTTCTTCTAAGATCTCTGCTCAATGTTGTTCCTTAATATTTTGAGGGGAGAAATTTACAAGTGTCCCATCAGTACAAGCAAAGTCTGTGTGTTCTAGAGTCCCAACGTGTCAACCTTTTTTGGAGTTTCAATGATCCTAGTGATGTTTACATTATCTCCCCTTCTAGCCAGAAAACTCAAATCACTGTGAGGTGTGCCGTAAAGGAGGAACACTGTTCTGCTGTGATACTTGTCCACAGTCCTTTCATGAGAAATGCCACTTACAACATATTGATCCTGACAGGTTAGTGAAACCCGGACCCCTCTTGTCCTTCCCTCTTGTGGTGCAGCTCTTCCCACCTTGCACACTCAGCCTGCAAAGTTTGTCTCCGGTTTTATGTGTCTTGATACAGAGGGAGAAGGGTCCTTAAGTATCAGGATCCAGAAATATGATCCAGAGCAATTTAACCATGCTGGCAGCAGTAGACTCGTGGGAGGTGAAAACTCCTCAAGTGTTTAGGTGGAACAGAGAGAAGTGTCACCACCACCTCCCCTGCTTGGTTCCCCGTGCCCTTGGATGGGCTGATGGCCTATGACACCTGCTTTGGGAACACCACAAAGTTGGCAAAGCTGGGGCTGTGAGGAGTCCTCAGAAGGCCATCCCCACAGTCTATCGAATCAGCAGACCCTGGGTGACAGGGTCTATGATAAAACTCATGAATTCTGAGGGTAAATCCACTACTGCATTTCCTTTGCTGTAAAATGTATCCTTGGTCAGAGGAGAGGGTACACAGGCTAACACAGAGATTGATAAGGCATCTGTAAGTGGTGGTGTGGGCAGAGGATGTCAACCAGGAATGTGTGCATCCCCGTGAGGACAGAGCATTGGCCTCCGTGATGGAATCTAACATAACCCAACGGCTCTCAGGTAGCTCCCAGGCAGTGGTGCCACCTCAGAGACTAGGCATAAACCTCTGTAGTCAGTCAGGCAATCTGCAGAGGGAGAAGACAGGTCCACTTTTTTGTTGAACCCACAAATAGTCCCCATTCCTGTACCATGGGTACTTTGTAACAGGCCTTTTTTTTTTTTTTCCAATTACAATGGACATGCAACATTATAGTATTAGTTTCAGATGTACAACTTAATCAGACATTTATATAATTTACCTGCTGACATCCCCAGTAAGTCTAGTACCCATCTGACACCACACATAATTATAACAATGTTCTTGACTATTTTCCATATGCTGTACATCCTCGTGACTATTTTTATAACTGTTTTCACATCCCCATGACTACTTTTATAACTCACAATCGGTACATCTTAATTTGTAACGGGCCTCTGAGAAAGGACTGGAGTGGCCCAGGAGAGAGGCTAAATGACATCTCTAAGATGAATTGTTGTATCCGCCTGATTGTCAAGAGCCTGGCAGCACAGAGCGCCTGGTAGAGAGGACGCTAGGGGCAAACAGAATACCTGACACTCTGTTGGTAGGTTTCCTTCCCAAGAAGTCTCTGCAGCACAGATTCTAGATATAGATAAGGCAATGCCAGAGGGGAGGACACCTGTGGCATGTTCTCTGTGCTTATTTAGAAAAATTGAGAGAACAGTGCTGATTTCCTGATTTTTCGTGTGGCCTGATTGTTTGTCAAAGCCCAAGTCTCCAGTCCTTACGGTACTTATTTCCAATACTCAACTGTGGCCAACAGGGCTCATTACCACACTCACTTAAGTTTTGAGGTGAATGAGACTCCATCACCCACCATGGCACCTAACTCAACAGACTACTAATGGGAGGGGTGTCTTTGGCAATTGAGCCCAAATGGGACTCTCATGCAGAGGGGCTTCCAAGAGTGAAGTTGGCCTCAAGGTGAAAACCAATAGTCCTTCTTGAACAGAGGACTTCAGCAGCTGTAGGAACGGTAGCTGCTTCATGGAGAACCTGCCTCTGCTCACTGTATATCCTGCCCTCAGGAGCCCATGGAGTTGCATCTTCTGCCAGATAAGGGCTATTCAGGAAAGGAACCCAGAAAATCAATCATGTCATCAGGAATCAGAGGTCCTGGAGAGGGAGATGCTGGATGAGGAGTATCTGGTGAGTTGCAATGTGAAGCTGAAGCCTCCTTCTTTCTGTTCAGTTGAGAGAAGAAGCACAGTCTTGCAGGAGCTGGGGGAATGGTGCCCAGTGGCAAGACGCTGTGCTTTGATCACATGACCTAGCACCAAAATGTATATCCAAAGGAAATCCTCATTCCGTGTTTGTTTCAGAATCCACAGGTTTGGGATTTGTGCGTTCTGTCTGGACAGGCATAACAGTTCATTCTCTCCAAGCTGCCTTTCACTTAAGATCTCTTCTGTCTTTTGCAGAAATGTGTGTTTCTCCTCTTGAAAGCCTATCGCTGTCCAGAAAGCTCCTTTTTTGCCTCAGAACCATATTATGTAAGTAACAACAACAAAGCCCCAAACTGGCATTTGTCAGATTTGTGATATGAATGCAATGGGTACAAGATGCCATTGGCATTGCCTTGTTGATGGATGTCTTAATCAGCTTAGTCAGCACTTAGCAGCTTGGGCTGCTATAATAAAGTATCGCAGACCAGGTGCCTTCAGCAACAGAAATTTTTTTCTCATGGTTCTAGAAGCTGAAAGTCCAAGATCTGGGTGCTAGCGTGGTCAGACTCTGGCGAGAGCCCTCTTCTAAATTGTAGGCTGACAACTTCATGGTGTGTCCTCACATGGTGGAAACAGGGAGCAAGCTCTCTGGGGTCCCCTTTAAAAGAGCACCAATCTTGCCCTGGCCGGTTTGGCTCAGCGGTTAGAGTGTCGACCTGCGGTCCTGAGAGACCCGGGTTCGGTTCCCGCTAAGGGCACGTACCTCGGTTGCAGTTTGTCCCCGGCCCTGGTCGGTCGTGTGGGTGGCAGCCACTCGATGTGTCCCTTTCACGTCGATGTTTCTCTCTCTCTCTGTGTTCCTCTCTCTCCCTCCCACTCTACCTGAACAAAAAAATGGGAAAATGTTCTCAGGTGAGGATAAAAAATAAAATAAAAAAATAAAAATAAAAGAGCACCAATCTTATTCCCGAGCACTGTACCCTCATGACCTAATTATCTCCCAAAGGCCCCACCTCCTAACACCATCACATTGGAGGTAAGGATTTCAACATATGAGTTTGAGGGCTGGGACATAAACAGCCAGTCCACAGTAGTGAGAGCCTATAGAAAGTAGACTTGGCCCTGGCCAATTTGGCTCAGCGGTTAGAGCGTCGGCCTGCGGTCCAGAGAGACCCGGGTTCGGTTCCCGCTAAGGGCACGTACTTCGGTTGCAGTTTGTCCCCGGCCCTGGTTGGTCGTGCAGGTGGCAGCCACTCGATGTGTCCCTTCACGTCGATGTTTCTCCCTCTCTCTCCCTTCCTCTCTCTCCCTCCCACTCTATCTGTACAAAAAATGGAAAAATATCCTCGGGTGAGGATAAAAAAAAAAGAAAGAAAGAAAGAAAGAAAGTAGACTTGGACCCCTGCTAATGGCCTGCCCTTTGGCACGTCCGTCCACAGAGTCAGCAGGTACCTCAGGTCCAGGAGAACTGCATGTGGTTAAACAAAATCAAGACAAAGCTGGCTTGGAAGATGTACCCCCAAGTGAAGGGGTTTGTGCGGGACATGCGCCTCATCTTTGAGAACCTCAGGGCATTTTGCAAGGTAGGTGGCCCCCGCTTCCCATTCTCTTTCCATTGTCACTTTGCCTTTCATCTTCTTGAGTAGGTCAGTGTTACAGCTCCCCCATCATGCTGCAAGCCCACCCAAGTAAAAATTCCGGAAGGGTTCTAAAACCCTCTGGTCTGCAGAGGGGAAAAGAATAACAAACCAGAGGTGTCACCGCAGACATTGCCCTAGGACCTCAGAGTCCGCTCGCTGTTAGAGATTTCCTCCCACAGAGAACAGTAGACTGCAGACCTAGTCGCTTCCACAGGGAACGGACGTGCTTTCTAAAGGCAGCCAGTGTTTCTCTCTTCTAAAGAAAGATACCAAATCAAATTTCTCAAGTTTCAAAATCTTGGATCTCTTAACATCCAAATTCCCTAGTGCCGTACCAAAAATGTAACAAGGATTGGCTCAAGGGGTGCGAGTGGAGGCAGAAGGGGGGCACCGTGAGTTTGCCGTAGACATTTTCAGACTATCATATTGTTCAAGTAACTTGTGCTCTGCGCAAAACTCAGTAACTTGAATTTTGTCAAATTAGATCAATCAATCCATTTCTGACGAAGAATTAGGCTGCTTCTCTGTGTCCCAGATAAAGAGAAACGCTCAAGCTCTCAGGGAACGTAAGCTGTTCTAAACTGGATAAAGTCTCGCTTAACATTTGGGGTAGCCTAAAATGAAGGTCTGGAATATCTGAAATGCATGTGGTTAAACAAAATCAAGATAAAGCTGGCTTGGAAGATGTACCCCCAAGTGAAGGGGTTTGGGAGTCTAAGCTCAAAGGCAATGGCTATTATTGTTTTTGTCTTTTTCAGGATCAGAAATTCATCAGGATGGGAATTCAACTAGAGGCCAACTTTGAGAATAATTTCAAAAACGTTTTTGCCATTCAGTAAATCAGCAAGAACAGTTCTCGGTCCAAACTCTTTTTTTTTTTTTTTTTTTTTTTTTTGTCCATTTCTCTCTCCCCCTTCAGAGAGCCTCGGCATAAGTGCACAGTCAAGCGCCCGAGGTGCCACTGACCATGGTGCCTGCCGATATGTTTTCTAAATAAAATTTAAAATTGCTTTGTCCAGTTCTCTTATTGAATAATTTGGAGTGAAATTTACAATAGAAAATATTGTGTCTTTCTGTGAAGGATCTTATTGTGGGTTTCCATCTGCTTGAATTATTTACTTTGTTCTTTTTTTCTTAACTCATCTTTATTGTTGAATGTATTGAAGATGTCCTCCCTTTTTTTTTCCCATTGACCCCCTCCTCTCCAATCTCACCCCCCTCCTGCCTTCCCCACACTATTGTCTGTGTCCATTGGTTATGCATATATGCATAGAAGGTCTTTGGTTTACCTCATCCCACCCGCCCTCCCCCCTTCCCTCTGAGCTTCATCAGTCTAACAACCAATTTGTTCTTCTTAATTCCTTCATCTTTTTCATGCATCTTTTTCCTCCCAACCCCCACCCATCTGGCAACCAACAAAAAGTTCTCTGTATCTAGAAGTCTGTTTCTGCTCTGCTTGCTCATTTTGTTTGTAGATTCAATTGTTGATAGCTATGTATTAATTGCCATTTTATTGTTCATATTTTTCTTCTTCTACTTCAAGAAGACCCTTCAACATTTCATATAATACTGGTTTGATGGTGATGAACTCCTTTAGCTTTTTCTTGTCTGGGAAACTCTTTATATGGCCATCGATTCTAAATGATAGCTCTGCAGGATAAAGTAATCTTGGTTGTAGGTCATTGGTTTTCATCACCTTGAATATCTCTTGCCACTCCTTTCTGGCCTGCAAAGTTTCTTTTGGGAAATCAGCTGACAGCTCCTTTGTAGGTAAGGACCTGCTTTTCTCTTGCTGCTTTTAAGATTCTTTCTTTGTATTTAACCTTTGATATTTTGATGATGATGTGTCTTGTTGTGGACCTCTTTGAGTTCATCTTGTTTGGGGCCCTCTGTGCTTCCTGGACTTTTTGTCTGTTTCCTTTACCAAGTTGGGGAAGTTTTCTGTCATTATTGTTTCAAATAGGTTTTCAATGTCTTGTTCTCTCTCTTCTCCTTCTGGCACCCTATGATGCGAATGTTGGCACCCTTGAAGTTGTCCCAGAGGTTCCTTATACTATCCTCATTTTGGGGGATTCTTTTTTTTTTTTTTTGCTGTTCTGATTGGGTGTTTTCTGCTTCCTTATATTCCAAATTGATGATTTGCTTCTTGGCTTTACCTACTCTACTATTGATTCCCTGTAAATTATACTTTATTTCAATTAGTGCATCCTTCATTTCTGACTGGTCCTTTTTTATGTTGTTGATGTTCTCAATAAGTTCCTTGAGAAACCTTATAACATTGTTTTGAACTCTGCATCTGATTGATTGTTTATCTCCGTTTTGTTTAATTCTTTTCCTGGAGTTTTGTTCTTTTCTTTTATTTGGGACATGTTTCTTTATTTCCTCATTTTGGCTGCTTCCCTGTGATTGTTTCTATGTATTAGGTAGAGTTGCTATGTCTCCTAGCCTTCGTAGGGTGGCCTATTATTGTAAATGTCCTGTAGGATCCAGTGGCACAGCCTCCCTGATCACTCCAGCTGGGCCCTTGAGGTGCACCCCTGGTGTGGTCTGTATACTCCTCTGTTGTAATTGAGTCTTGATTGCTGTTGGCACATCAATGGGAGGGATTTACTCAGGCTGATCAGCTGCAAGGACTGGCTGTGCCACTGACCACTGGCCTCTGACTACCTTAGAGGATCAGTTGTGTAGGGGCCCAACACACAGAGCAAGACTTACTTCAGCAGGGCTCTGGTATTCACTGATTCCGTTCATTGAGTGTGTCCCTTGTGGAGGTGGTTGGTTGGTGGTGCTTCGAGGTGGTCTGAAGCTGTCCACTGGGTGTGCTGGCTCTGGGGAAAGGTCAACCACTGCCTGTGTTCTATCTGGGCACCTGGCATAAGCTACAAAGTGATCTGCTGATGGCTGTTTCTTGTGCTGGGCTTGGAGGTGTACAGGGAAAGCCAAGTTGTGAACCAAGACTGGCTGCTTCTAGTGCCAGGCCTGGGGCCACTTAATGAGAGGTATGGGCCTGGCTGAGACCAGATGCTGCTTGTTTGAGAGACTTTAGGAAATTCTGAAGCAGGATCCCAGACAGGCCAATTCTATGGCAAAGCCATTGGAAACAGCTTGGGTGGGCCTGAAAGTTGGGTGGGGCAGGGCCTCAGGAAATCACCAGGGCGGGGCAAACAGTGTGAACCAGGTCGCTGGAGTCCCAGATATGGTGGCCATTTCCTGCCCCAGGGAAGGGCTCACCAATGAACATCAGCCTCTGCTAGCACATCTGTCCGGGAGAAAGCCCCCTCTCCAGCCCTTGTCCCAAGGCCGAACAGCTCAGTTCTTCCTTGTATATCACTGGTGCCCCTCGAGCTGCCTCCCCTCTGAGCTCAGAGGGAGCAAGTCTGAGTAAGTCCATGCACCGGCCCTTTAAGAGGAGCTGCCTGGGGCTCCAGCAGCCTCAGCCTCCCTGAGCCTCAGTTTTCCAGCCAGAAGTTATGGGGATTCTCTTTCTGGCACTGGAACCCTGAGCTGGGAGCCTGGTGTGGGACAGGGACCCCTCAGTCCTCAGGGAGGACCTTCCCAGCCGAGGTGTCCTCCTGATTTTTATCTGCCACACGTGGGTGAGAGACCAGCCCGTCCACCTCTGCCCTCCTACCAATCTCGATGTGGCTTCTTCTTTAATTTCATAGTTGTAGGACTTCCGTTCAGCTCGATGTCAGGCAGTTCTGAAGGATGGCTGTGTTGTAGTTTAGTTGTTATTTCGATGTGGTTGTGGGAGGAGGCAAGGACTGCGGTTTCCTACACCACCATCTTGACCAGAAGTCTGTTTACTTTGTTCTTAGTGAAGTTGTCTCCTCTCCTCCTCGCCACATAGAACTTACTCACTTCTTTCTTTTGTTTTCACTGTCGGGTATTCTATACTTTTTCTTGTTATTGTGCAGGTGACCTTTTTTCCATTACAGTTTCTTACTGGTTATTTCCTGTTATAGAAAACTACTGTTGCCCTGGCCAGTGTGGCTCAGTTGATTGGTCGTTGTCCAGTGCAATGAAAGGTCGCCAGTTCGATTCCCAGTCAGGGCACATGCCCAGCCTGCGGGGTCGATCCCTGATCAGTGCGTCACTCTCACATTGATATTTCTCTCTCTTCCTCTCCCCTCCTCTCTCTCTAAAAATCAATGTTTTAACATCTTTTTCAAAGAAAGAAAACTGTTATTTATATGTTTTGGTAAAGCTACTCCTATTTATATAGTTTGGTTATTGATTACACACTGAATACCTTTTTGCTTTTACCCCGTGGCATCAGGAAGCACGTAGTAGATGCATACTGTTTCCAGTGTTAAGTCATGGAGTCAGAATCCTGACTGGCACCGCTGACAGGAGCATCCTCACCCTGGCACTGAAACCTCTGACCACACTAGGTTCTGTGGGGAATGGCTCAGCCAGGGCATCCTGGCACGTCTCCACACGGCCCACACCGGCAAAACCTAGAAGTAGATGATCTGGTTTAGGTCTTGGCAGAATTCCCTGTGATTTTTCCAAAACATGGGCGCGTGGGAAGCTTGTGAGGAGCTGCTGCAAAGCCGTTTCCACTCATCGCCTCATCTTCCAGATGCTATCATGATTCTCTCCTTTCTTTCCAAGTTCCGGTGAGGTATGGGGCCTCCTGGTTCTCTCTGCAGGGCACAGCTGTAGGCCATACACCTGCTTAGCTGCAGCAGGCATGTGGACCATGCACCATAGGGCACCCACACCCCCTCTGTTTTGGGGCCACCCTGTGGGACAGAGGATGTGGGAAGCTGGTACCTTTGTTCTTCTTGTCTGTGTAAGTAATAAAGTAACTGAATATTAAAAGGGTGGATCATTTCTTCACCAGCCCAGTATTTTAGCTTTGCTTGACAGGTTCTCCGACACGAAATATTCAGAGCACCATATATTGGTAGCTGGCTCAGAGTACACACTACACCCTCTGAGGAAGTACCTCAGCCTCTGAAATTACTGTCTCTAGGCCGGCGCCAAAGTTGAGTCTCCAACACCCCATGTCACCATCCAGGAATGAAATTTAGTTATTGGAATAGAAAATTTTGAAGATTACATGAATTTATGAATGTAAAGTATTTAAAACCATGTCTGAGACACATGAATGTGTCATTGTGGCTACACATAGTAGGGGTTCCGTGTTCAAAGTGCTCATTCAAGTACAAGGCAGCAATTCCCGTTGTCTGGCCCGCTAGCTGATGGAAACCAGAGCAAATGGGGGCCATGAAAACCAAGGCTGAACATTTCCGAACCCTTCCCAGAGACCAATGTCTGCTTTCCAAGTTAATGCTGTGCTGGACAAAGGGAAATTCCCATGTCCTTAAAGGGTTATTGAACAAGAATCTTCAGCTAATTCTAGGGGCCTGAAACACCATAATGACCTGTCTAACAGAAGATGTTTAGGTGTTAGATATAATTTCTGTCTCATGGTAGATTTAGCGAGAGGAGGAAAAAAAAAAAAGGTTACTACAATTGATGGAATTATTCAGGGATGATTCCGAAACAAACGTGTCTGAAGTTCTGTCTCCCTTTATTGCTGTTATGACTGAAAAAGGATGGTCACCTATATAGGAAAAATGTCCTGAGATCCTGCCAGAAAATAAACTTTCTGGAACTACAGTTATGTAGAGAAATGGATACATTCCATCACAAACCAAGCAAAATATTTTATCCTTGAAGCTCTCTCCCATAGCATATTTTATTTTCAATCCTTTGGCTCCTAATAAAATTATATTTTTCATTTAGATTTACAGTTTAAATTTTGACCTTTTTTTTTTCCTTGCAACTCCTGTTTGTTGGCTTTGTTGGGTTAAGAGAATTCAGTGATGTGGCTTCGCTGTTGCATCATTATC